AAAAAAAAAAAAAAAAAAAAACCATAGCTTCAGTGGTGACCGGTGGTCGGGCCTGTGCAACGATCATTCGGCAGAATCTAAACATACTTTAATTTTCAAGTACATAACCACAAATGCGCATGTTTTAATTTGTACAGCCTCAAGTATCCTGCAAGAATTACGATGAATATGATCGCGGATGGTGGACTATATCTAAAAATCTTTGTGACATGTAGACTCAATGAAACGGTCGTGTACGCTGGTTCTTACGAAAATATCAAATATTACCACGTTGTATTTAAAACACGACACCTTTTAATTATATGGATGTATTATTAGGAAAATAAATACTTACCCAAAAAAAACTTTGTTTTCAAATAATATTAATATCGTTACGTTTCCGCTGAACGAACGGAAAATTTTATATTTATAAAAAAATATGTAGAAATGCATATTAATTACACTAGGTGGTTATGGTAGTCCACGGTGAACCTGGTGTGGAGTGGATACTGCTAGAAAGCTCATAGATGTCACAAAGGGTAATTCAGCGCCCACCCAGACATAAGGCAAGTTTCAGTTACATCATTTAAGAGCTGTCCCATCTACCCCTAAAACCTAAACGCATTGTTTGCTCTATGGCAGAAATAGGCAGGCTTATGGTTCTTACTCACGCGGGCTCATATTACGTCCGACTATTTGCTATTCTACGGTTACACAATTATTAAAAAATAAGGATATTTTCTAAAACTAAAGCATAATCTTGAAGTTTTGGTGTATTCTTCCCAAAAAAATATAGACGCCGTAACTGTAATTTCTAGTTTTGAGCTCAGCTTATGTTTCCCGATAATATTATTTCTCAAATACTCATCTGTTACGTTACTTTGCTTTGCCGATCTCCATGGGAGGACCAGGGGTAAAGCCAAGACGGTTTTAACCATTCCTATTTCATTCGAAGAAAAACGTAGCTGAGAAATCCCGCTTATTTTTAATAGCTAATGTTTAATTACAATACTTTAGAATTGCTAGAAACGATCTAAGATCAAATTAGGGAATTACGAATTGTAGGATGTTGTTGCCTGAGGCAAAAAAAATCGTAATGAAAGGAGTTTTTCTTTAGATTTAAAAAATAACGTCTCTTATATTTAAGAAACAGAAAATTGTAAATCATTTTTTTATTTTAACTTTTACTACTTACCTAACTAATACATAAGTGTGCAAGTTATTTTCATTTATGGTTTTTTGTTTTTTAATTTTAAAATCAATAGCTCGTAGTGCTCTAGGCAACCGTGTCAACTGCGCATGCCTGTTTTAATCGATTTTAAGATTCTGGGTGCCTGATCCGGAGCTGTTAGCTGGGCCTCTCGGCATAAGAATAAAGTTTATCCGTTACAAGTTAATTCAAATTTCTAATGTTCTAGAGTTTTCTCTACTTAAACAGAGACAGTTTATGGTAAGTTACAGAAAAAAAGCATGAACCTATCAATTCTTATTACAAATTGCAGTGAAATGATTATTGGATAGAAATATACATCTCCATAGATAGACTAGTAACAAAAAGAAACGAATTTAGTAGAATACATTTTGAAGGTAGATTTTTATGCATAATTTCAAATTTCCTGTCAATTCTTTGAAAAGGTGCATTTTGTGATTCAAATTTAAACAAATTTTTTTGCAGTTTTATTTGCTGCGCCTATCTTAAAGATGGCTTCGAAGTTTACCAAGAACGCAATACTAACAAGGACATTGCATTCGTGCTGTCTCGTCTGCGAAACTTACCTTCCAAGCGAACGAGATGTCGCACTGCATATTTCAAAGGAAGAACACAAAAAAAGTCTAGAAGCTAGTAGTTTCGTGGCTGAGTTTATCGAGGACCGCATAAGGAAGGTTTGTGACGTCACTCTATCTATCTAACGTTTGCAAAATGAAAATTATTTATCTATTTATTTATACTGTTTCAACAGGTCAAGAAGGGATTTTTCTGTGAGTTCTGCAATAAATATCTATCAACAATAATCAAAGGAAGGTTCCATGTAACAGGCAATGAGCATATCCGTAATAAGGGCGCCTATCTCTTCGAGCGTTTGGAGAATGGCATGGTTCTCTTTAGAAACATTGTTATCACGAAAGAAGCATGGAATGGGATCATTGGAAAGAAATGCATTATTTGCGCTATTGAATTCAATGATGTGAAGAAGCACATTACCAGCGTTAAACACATTTTCAATATGTTAAAGTTCGATGTGCAATTCGGGATTTACGGTGGACTGTACAGGAAGACGGTCAGTCATGATTCATTAACAATATCGAAACAATATCTTCTTTTTGACGGTACAAAATAGAAAAAACGTAATTTTTCTTCTGTAATTTAAAATAATTTCGTTACCATTTCAGATGGACGATTCGTTCCATTGCTTAACTTGCAACGAGGTTTTTGAAAGCCCAACTCGAGCGTGTATTTCGTCGCATTTTTTACATCCTAACCACCAAGAGATTTACGATAAATTAGAAAAGAGTTCCAAAGAACAAATCGAACAGTCTAATTATCAACAGAAACTGTCCAATTTAACTGATCCAAAGGGAACTGCAGAATCCAAAGATCCGATCCTGAAGAAAGTGCCCATGGAGAGATACATCAACGATTTTTATCCTATCAAGAATCCATGTTTGGGCGGCACAGATATTGTCATCAACATGAGAACAGTTGTGAACATTTTCAGTTTCTATTTTATAACACAGCTGAACTCATTGATATGTGAAGTATGCGAGGTCACATTGACGCTTGATGAAATTGACACACACAAAGTCACCAAGAAACACGAGCGTGCAATGATGGACACTCCAGTTATTGTACTAAGATGTGCTGAAGACGAGTTTATCAGAGAGGTAATGATTTTTGTTTATCTAACACTAAGTTTTGGTGAAAATATCTTTGAGTTGCGCAGAAGGGCAGAATGTGGCCACTCTTGGTACACATCATCTACTTTATTATGGTACCTACCCCCACTCGAAACGTCTTGCTCCTTATTTCACTTTATTCATATTAATTGTGTTCTGCTAGAGACGTAATATATGTATGTACTCATTTAAAGAACTTTATCATTTAAGGTACGTCCTGAAATATACCATTGCGGCTATTGCAACATCACATACAATGGCTTGAGCAAAATCGTCTATCACTTGAACACGTCTAACCACAAGGAATGCAAAACTTCTTCCTCTTGGCGTTTCTACATGCATATCCAGACTAAGAATAAAAATAAACAACAGTAATTTATAATCGCGCATTGTCGAATAATTATCTGAATATTTATTATCTGGATCTATTTGAATATTACATACATACATTTCGATTTAGGCTAAGAAGTATTAGGTCTTGGGAAAATTCAAATTTACACGCTGGATAAAAGTCACCGAGTTTTCTGGTAACTAAAATAACATCAAAAAGAAAATCTACAATGGGAACTTAAGCCCAAGACGTGCAGTTTATCGAACTTCAATTTTAATGTTTCTAGTTTTTAATGAATTTAATGAATCTTAGGAAATATTTGTGACATTACATATGATATTTACACTAGCTTTGTCTATCTTCAACAAATAATTGTCGCCTGAATTTCTTGCTACATACGTAGCTTACTGAATCGATCCGACACAAATATATCCTTACCAAAGTCCCCTTAACTAATAATAATTATCTATTAATACCTATGAAGCTCAAATACATAGTATCCAGTATGTGAGATTATTGAACTCGTATTAACAAATTTTGCTTGAAAGAAAGATCAGGAATTTCTGTGCCAATGTCTTCTTATTTAAACATGATTCATTTATTTCTTTAGATTGTAGCACAAACTTTGTAACGCATTGTAATTGCCTAACATAATAAGTATTTATTCGTATTCAGAACATTTCCTGTTTTAAGTAGGCGTCGGTGTCGTGTTTAATAATATTATTATTGTCTTAATCAATAGTTGAAACAATACCCTTCTTCTGGGGAGCTTATTAATAATATAAAAGAGTAAAGGACTGTAACAAATAAAGGATAATAAAAATATTAAGGTGTTTTTATTTACTTACCTAATTATAATGGGCATAATATAAAATTTATTATACTTAGAGCTAAACTAATTAACACAGCGAACAAAGGACCTCTGAGAATGGAACGAAGAGAAGCGCTGCGTAACTCATTTTTGTGGCGAAAAAGAGGATGTAATTATCTACAATTACTAGTAAAAAACGACTAAATTTAGCTGAGAATTTTCTCCTGACATTGGTTAATACTCGTAGTGCTTGCTATTCCGGCAAATCTCTGATCAATCAAATTTTTCCACTCACAACCAGTGCACATTTTCTTTTCATAATTTACAGATTCCTTTTCACTAATACATCAAAGCGCCAATAACTGTTTAACACTCTACTGCGACCTGTTTATTTGTTATATTAATAATTTTACAGTAATTACATTAATATTTCATCTTAAGATTCTATTAAACTTGAGTATTCGTCAAATTTATGTACACACAAGCTCGTAAAGCTTTTATTTAACTTCATATTGTTTTCCTTGTGTTAAAGTTAAAAGAGATCCAAATTAGAAATAACAATGTGAATGCCGGAAAATAAGATTCGTATCGAACGAAGCATGTTCTTCAGATTACATACACTATGATGCATTCCAAACGTCGCCAAGTTTTTATTTAGTTTCATAGCACAGTTCCGGGTAAGGTACCCTCAAAAAGAGATTCCCTGATACAGGCGATTTCAATGAATGTGTTGTTAGGGAGATCGGCAGATTTAATATATAATTTTCTAGAAGTAGCACAGAGACAGGATTTATAGCATTTTTATTTTTTATGAGTCACGTGCTTATTGTTAATGTACAATGAGGATGTAAAGAGCAAGTATCAACTTCAGGATTAAGGATTAAGGAGGAAGATTTTCGTAGCAGAAATTACCAGATATTACAGATAAAAATTAGGCAGAAATATAAAGTGAAGACCCTATTATTAGCGACAGCTGACGCAAAAGAATTAGTATCAAGGAGATAAACAACAACAACTATATTATATATAAACAACAATATTAAATAATTCAGCAAGTATGACGACTTTAATCTTTAAGACGATAACGGTATGATTGTTGTGATATAAATCTAGGCAGTAAAACTGTAATAAATTATGTACCATAACTTTACATTAATATAATTAATTTGAAATAATTTGAAAAAAGAAAATAAACAATGAATAGACACTTGTTACTTAAGCTACTTATACTGACTTCAGAGACGCCACCCAACTGCGCATGTCTGCAATAATCGATTAGCAAACATTCTAGACGGGTCGCTGAGCTGGTGGCTGGGTCCTCCAGATAAAATTGTTTGAATTATTCAATTCAACTGTATTTATTGATATTGTGTCTTCATTAAATATCTGAGCAGGAAAACTTCAACGGTAAGTTATAAAAAAGTATATGGGTTTAGTGTTTCGTGTATTTAAAATATCCTTTGTTTTTCTCTTCTTTTATAAAACCAGTAGATTAGCAATTAATTGATCAATAGTACTGTTTGCATGAATGAAAAATAAAATACTGACATTTTATTTATTCTATCGATTTTTTAGCCATCTTCAAAGATGACGTCGAAATTTAACAAGAACGCGATCCTATTGGGGTCTGCGTACTCCTCCTGCCTCGTTTGCGATACTTACATCTCAAGCGAAGTAGATGCTGCGAAACATATCTTAAAGGAGGAGCATAAAGCAAATCTAGACGCAAGCCGTTTTGTGGATGAGTTTGTCGATGACTACATCAGGAAGGTAGGCAATTGTGACTTATTCATAGCTGTCCTATATACCTTACAATAAAATAATTATATTTAAATGTCCTTCAGTGACTGCGAAACGAACAAAATTGTAAATTTTTTATTTCGTGTTTACATAAATAGGTGAAGAAAGGATTCTACTGTGAGCTCTGCAATCAATGTATTGCAACGATGGACATAGGAAGGGTTCATGTATCGGAAAATGAGCATATCCGTAGGAAGGATACTTCTTGCTTCGAATGCTTGGGAAACGACTTGATTATTTACAAAGACGTGGCCATCACAAAAGAAGCATGGAATGGGATTGTTGAGAACAAGTGCATACTCTGCGACATTCAATGCGATGATATGGAGGATCACATTTCTAACGCAGATCATCTTGCTAAGATGCTGCAAGTCGAGGTGGAGTTTAGGATCTATAATGGACTCTACAGAATGGTCAGTACGGGTTTTAAGGCAGATTAGTAACTAGTAAATAGTAGTAGATTGGTATTTGGTAAATTATTTGATTTTGAATAAATCTTCATATTTTCAGATGGACAACTCATTCCAATGCTTGACATGCAACGAGGTTTTTAGGTTGGTGAAAACCTCAATTCAAGCATGTGTAACAACACATTTTTTACGCTCCAAACATAAGCAGATACAAGAAAAACTGGCAAAGGCTGCAAAAGATGCCACTGATATTGTACAACTTAAAGAGTTTGGTCAATATTTCAATAAAAATAAGTCGGAGCTTTCAAAGGATCTGATTATTAAGAAGGAGACTATGGAGCAATTCATCAATAATTTTTATTCTATCGAAGTGCCATTTTTGGGAGGCACTGACATTGTTATCAATACGAAAATTGTCGTCAACGTTTTCAGCTTTTATTTCATAACAAAGGATACTCTGAAATGTATGGCTTGCAATGTCAAATTGACGATTGATCAAATCGACAGCCATAACGTAACTTTGAAACACGAAACTGCGATGAAGGAAACTCCAGTTATTACGTTAAAGTCTGCCGAAGACGAGTTTATCAGAGAGGTATTAATGTTTTTTCGGAAAAATCTCTATCACCGGTTTTTCAAACATTCAAATCAAGACATTCATACCTAACATATCCTGCCGCTAATAAACTTTGAATACAATTTTGTTTTCTACTTACACCGAACATTACATCTTAAACAAAATTTTATCATTTAAGGTACGCCCTGATGTTTACCACTGCGGTTTCTGCAATAGCATCGAACACGGCTTGGATAATATGTTGGAGCACTTTGGTACCTTCGGCCACAGGGAAAGCAGGACTTCTGCCTCGTGGCGTCTTCACATGTATCTTGTGACCAAGAACAAGAACTAAAGACACGATAAAATTTCTTACAACATATAATATTTTACTATTTAGAATCTAACATTCAACATGCGTTATTCGATTAGGTTATTAAGAAGCAAAGGAAAGTCCAAAGAAGCTGTGCAAGATCGTTCTACAGAACGTTTTGGTGAAAAATGGAAGAGAACAGGACCCATAGTCAGTAGGCTTATTGGAGTATATAGTCTCACATATACATATAGTCTTCAGTACATGCAGGTTATGTGTTGGGTGCGTTTCGTAAATATACGATTCGGTTTGGACGGATGCTGAAGCAGGTACCATTTTTTTTAAATTCCAGCCTTATCTTAACGTTTGTTCAGTAATGAGGTGATTTTGTCAATAAATATTATCGATAATAAGGAATTCAAAGCGCGTACAGATTAATATCACCGTCCTTCATTTTTCTCTTTCATTTTGAGATTCCGGTTTGAAGGGTAGAACAATTTTTTCAACAAAACTCAGACTTTCGACTTCATGTCTCTAGGCGGGCAGTGGTGTTCACATTAAGATGCGGTGAGCTGTGAGCTCATCTGTCCATTTATGAGAACAAAAAAAAGAGTAGGTAGGTACCTACTTCGAAGTAATTTCAAATAACTTCGGAGGATGGAGTTACAATAATATACTAAGGATGGAATTAAAGGGTTTTTACAAAGGTTATTTTTAAAAAGAAAGTCTGAAAGAGTATTGGCGTCAAAATTATAATAATTTTTATTATTACATTTTTATTATAAAAGAATTACGAATATCTATCTGTACACAAATAATTGATGCTTATTTTTTTGTTGTATTTTGATTGGGCTTCATAGAAAAGTTATCCAATTTTGATATTCCTATGAAATTGTGGCTTGTAATAAGTAGAACCTTGTAATAGTAACAGGAAAGCGTGTATATTCAACAACAAGAAGATACATAATTATGTTGTACCTACCTGTACTACAAATATTGATCTTTCATCTGGATATTTCTAATATTTTGGTTGCGTATCTCACAAATACTACTGAACTGGCTGCGATTAAACATTTGTGCTGATTGGACAAAAAAAAATGATATCTGTTGTACCTTATATGTGTATACAGATATGTGATGATGGGAACCGAATATAGAAAAGGCAACATTTCTTCATTACACAGATGCATGGATTTGTGGTCCATGTAATCGATAATGCCATAATAAAAAACACAATGGATGAAAATCAGTCTTACTTTGGGTCACGGTTGGCAGAGACTTCAACATCACAGGTCAAAACAAAATACGAATGGGTGATTTTAAAAACAGTTTGATAAAGATTACACTCAAAATATTCTCTTGGATTATCTTTCTATTTCCATGATGCCATGTTTTACATTATATATTGTCTGGCTCAAACTTTCTTAACACAAAATAGGTTTAGCATAGTAAGTGTGTAATATTGATGTATTGAATATATTTCGATACTTAGTAGATTATATTATTATTGCTTTATGTGTTTTTGTCAATGTATTTCTTAGAAAAACATTTGGGTTATTATTAGAAATACTACAACACTACTATAAGATCTAAAGTAGTATGAAGTTTTCAATATGGCCTGTTGTACTTAATAAAAAAATTCAATGTTGTGATGGCCTAAACGTTTAGTTTTTACATTATGTAGGTACTCGTAGATATTAAGCCAAAACCACTGTTTTGTGGTATATTTAAAATCTCCAAAAAGTAGAATATAACCAAGTTTAATCTCAATGTAATCACTTTTAGACATGCCCTTTTTTCTATTTTATGATAGGATAAGCTATGTAACAGCTACTTATTTATGGAGCTATTTAGAATTGTGTAATAGAATAAATGAATGTGAAAAATAAAATTAATAAATATATTAGGATATTTTAATTTTATCTTAGAACCTTAACATTTTCAATGTCATCATTAACATAGTATAAATTTAAAATGTATTTTTACACTTACCAACCTCTTTGGCCAAATTAGAATAAGCATTCTTAATAATGTATCTCCTAGTAATGGAGTACCTCTACCTATTCTCCATGTAATGGAGGACAACACGCTAGGTTTTGCATGATGGTTTTAATCGTGCATGCATAACCGAAAGGCAAGCCTAGCGTGTATGTGATTAAACTGTACAGCTATCGGTGCATGTACATGCAACCGAGCAAATATCAAAATTGATATTTTATGTGGCTCGGTTATGTTTGCGCGCGAGCATAACTGAGCATATGTGGTGTCCAGCGAGCTTACCTGCCACAATTCTCAGTTTTTAATTGTCTGCGACATTAAATTTACCTTCCATTCGTATATAATTGTTCTATTCTGTTGGTGTAAATCACAATTCATTTATCAAATTTATGCAGGAGAACTGCTTTCTTTTTAAGAACCAGCGTTTAGACTTTTCAGTGCAATCGTTTTTACTTTCTCTGTTCTGCAAAACAAGCTAAGCCAAGTTCAGCTATCACATCATCGTCGTACATTGTAGTTTGGTATTGGCGTCCTACAACGTCGTCATGTAGGTAGCTCAACTGAGAGTTAATGGCAAAACTGTGCATGCAAAACCTAGTGTGTATGGCCTCCATAAGATGGTTTTTTGAATTTGATGAAGATTTCATAGACGTATTTCGTGATTGCGACGTCATTTTGCGACGTTATTTTTCATTGTAACATTGCAATAGTAAAGGACTTTTTGGCAGGAACGCGAGGAGTGAAGCTGTGTGATTTGTTTTATTTTGTCTATTTAGTGTTCCTTCAGGTTTAAATGTGTAATAACGGTGGTTTATTAACTGTTTAATCTCTGTGAAAGTGCACAAGTGTGGGAAAATGAAACAAAGCCGCTGGACGTAACTTCTCGGGAACCTCCAAAAAGTCAACTGAAAAAATCTCAGTAAATGACCACCATTTTACTGAGATTAAATTTCATCCCATATGATCTCATCTCATTTCATTTAATTTCACTCCGTATTATTTGTTTTATGAGACTTTTTTTTTTAATTTTTATGACCTGGTAACTAAGACCTTTAAGTCATGTCTTATTTTAATTTATATTCTTAATTTTTTGGAAAATGATAAGTAATATGAAATGAAATGAAGATGATTAATTTGAGACGTTAATCAACTGAGATGAAATGAATTGAAATGAGATGAGATGATATGGGATGAAATATAATTTCAGTAAGATGGTGGTCATTTACTGAGATTTTTTCAGTGGACTTTTTGGAGGATCACGAGAAGTTACGTCCAGCGGCTTTGTTTCATTTTCCCACATTTGTGCACTTTCACAGATATGAAACACTTAATAAACCACCGTTATTACACATTTAAACCTGAAGAAACACTAAATAGACAAAAATAAAAAAAATCACACAACTTCACTCCTCGCATTCCCGCCAAAAAGTTCACTACATATCGTACCTTCGGTAAGACAAGAGCCGATGTGCTAAAATTTCTGAAAATGAGTTAAATATGCCAAAGTGCCTTAAAAACTAATTTCTACCTGTAGGAACAAAGATATTCACTAGATTCAGTTTATTTTCGCCAGATGGCAAAAGTGTCTTTGTACCATTCGTTCGTTTTTTGAATGATATTGGCGCGACAAAATCTTATTGGTCATTTGCGGCATCGCGGCATCGCCCGCGCGAGTAGTGGTTGTAAACTGGACCATAAGGGTCATTAAGGTAAATATGCCCTTTTTTGTTTTATATTTTGGAAAGACATGGTCACATTTTGTGTACATAATATGTCTGATTTGAGAACACGTATTTGACAGAAAAAATAAATGTCTTACGCATTTACAATATAACAGTGCTACCATCCTGTATAATCAGTATTATAAATACTATTCTCAATAAGTTTGTGTATTGTATATGAATATTATCTATGGATATTATTTTATTTAGGAATCTTTGGATGACCCACTTCATTATATTTTACTTTTTATAATAGTTTTGTTTTATTAAAAGTAAAAACATTGTTTTCAGTTAAATAAAACAAGAGTCCCGGATTAAGATATTTTAACTTTGGACAAAATGATACTTTGAAATACACTAATATGCAATGTACAATACCTATGTAAAAATTTCCAAAATAGCTTAAAAGTCTCGTCATCCCGCGGAAAAAAGAATGTTTTTGTCAAAACAGGATACCTCTGGCCATAGATTATACACTTAATATATTCGAGACTCGAATATATTAAGTGTATAATCTATGTTCGAGACCTCTGGCTGAGTAGATATGAAAGAAATGCTACGCATGCGTTTATTTAATATTATAAAAGTAATAAATAATGATAATCTGGCCTTTGTTACCTAACAAAAGATTTAAAAAGACTGTAGAATGATTGGCATAGAAAAAAGTATACCGATTAGAGAGCCTAACGATTGAGAAGAAACTGTAAAGGAATCCATCATCTAATTTGGTTATTTGTTCACGCTAAGGAAACGTGTCTAAATCCACTCATGAAAACTATGTTGGTTTTCCTGGACTAGAAGTGTACGGGGCTCTATAGCGTAACATCAGTCAAACAAAGCTTAACTACAATTCAGTTCAGATTACGCTGACCTAATGGTAAAAATTGCATTTAAAATTTTGTTTTTATGTTCTTATAAATTTCAGTACAAAACGAACAAATACGCTGCCACTGTTTTAATGGTCCTACTGAAGAAGTTATGTAATAACAACAGAAAATGGAGAATATCGAATTTATCTCATAAAACTAGAGAATATTGAATTTATCTGATAAGTGCCTTTGATTAATTATAACATTTCTATTATAGAGCGGAACAAAATGTAATTATTCATAAAGCTTTTGAAAGGCTCACAAATGCCAATGATTTAAACACATTGATGGTTCAATTCAACTTGCTTTCTCATGTAGGTATACAATGGTGAGTAATCTGTAATTCATATATTTTTTTAAATATAATTTTTTAATTCAATTTCTTTTCGTGTCAAATTCAAATCATTGTGATGCATATATGTATTTAGTACATGTATATTCATATCAATATATATAGAATGAAAAACAGACATTAAACTAGTTTCAAACAGACAAAGATGCTTGATTTGAATGCAAAAATGTGAATCCTAGTTAAAGCCTCTTTCTCAATCATTAACCATATCAACTAGCTTTGTGTTTAGTATCCTGTAAAGCACAGCAAAGCAAAGCAGAGCTAAACAATGTAGAAATCATGATTTCATTCTTCTAAAGCGAATATTTACTTCTTCCCTCTCACTCTAGTGTGTCGCACTCATGTCCAGTGCGAAGTATTTGTAAAATATTTGTGCTTGAGTGAGAAAGCTTGCGGCTCTATTTGCTCTAACTATATAACAACTATGGCGAACTCTCTATTTGATGATAAATTTTGTAGCATCAGCTTAAAATAAAATTACTTAACACTAAACTTACTAGTACCTCTAAAATTAACCCTTTTCAAACTTTTATAAATTACACATAAAATTAAATGTAAATGTTATTATATAATATCATTAGCTATACTATAGTAAAATTCTTAGAATATGCTTATAATATTTTCTTCACTCGTTATTTCTAATTATATTTCCTCTTTTCCAAGAAAAAACAACTACTATCTGCATTGTATTTTAAAAATTATAACCTTTGACAAAGCATGGTAGAAATATACAGGAAATGTGGGTAGATTTAGTGTTAAATCACAAATCATTTACTATTCTTGGCAATACAGGAATTTCCTCTATAATTAATAACTTTTTTAATGAAAGTTGTTCTATATACGCATAATCTTTTGTTATGTCATAAATTTAATGGAAGCTTATCCCATATTACCTCTAACAACTTTAATATACATCGCATGTTAGTATTATCTAAATCTTGACCCAATTCAGCTAGCCTAATCCTTTTAATTGAAAGCAAATCTAAAATCATTCTAGCTGTTTTAAAAAGCTAGCCTTCACAAGTTGCCAATCACCTGTTACTGAGTTACTGTAGGGAATGGATGTGTGAGGCTAGCCTATAGTCCTCTCCTGTATACTTAAGTAGTAAATAAGCAGCTTTCCCATCTGCTTCAAATCACACACTGGCCTCAAACTAGGATTCACTGCACTATGGGAACCAGACTGATATATGTCTTTATATGTGTATTAAACACCACCCAGACAATGAGCAAACAATATCATTTATCACAAATGCTTGCCAATAATTATTGTGGGAATCGAACCCACACCCTATCCGTTACTCAAGATTGTCAAATTTTACAATAGGTAGGCTCATTTACTCACCTATTCTTAAATAACTACTTGCATAAAAATTAAAGAAATAGTTATAAGTATGATATAGTTCTGTTAGATGTTATTTTATTTGTTATCCCCCTTTTTGTTGATAGTCCACATATATTGAAACAAATTAATTTAAATTAAAATAAATTAATTTTGCAGGTGGTAGGACCTCTTGTGAGTCCGCATGGGTAGGTACCACCACCCTGCCTATTTCTACCGTGAAGCAGTAATGCAGTTTGGTTTGAAGGGTGGGGCAGCTGTTGTAACTATACTTGAGACCTTAGAACTTATATCTCAAGGTGGGTGGCGCATTTCCATTGTAGATGTCTATGGTTGGCTTAAGTAACCACTTAAAACTAGGTGGGATGTGAGCTCGTCCAACCATCTAAGTAATAACAAAAAATATATATATGCCCTATTTCCTACATCTGTCTAATATGTTTTGCAGATAACACCCAATCTTTCTATTCAAATTTACTCATATCAGTACTCAGTTCTATCTAACCATTCAACTAGAGCTATTATTGATAGTCTTATATTTTTGCATTGGGTAATTTCATAATCTTAATATAATAATTTCAAAATCTATAATAATTTCAAAGTGGTACTTTTACTTGCACCTGAAATGGCTTGAACTCGATAGGACAGACAGATAGACAGCCACCACCACAATATAATTATCTTTTCATATCTGTTACACATAAAAACATTATTTAAGTAACTTTCAAACTTATGATGGCCAATGACCATTATGTAGGAAATGTATGAGCGTAAATTTTGTTTGTTTTTCTTACATGTAAACTAAGAATGTTAATGGTCACAGTAATTTCTGTATTTCTGTTACTAATTAAACTTTATTATTTTACATGAAGAAGGTAATATCTATTTTGTTATAAAATTATTTACTAATTGTTATCCTTTAGCTTTTCTGTCCTTTTTCATTTTACACTTTTAATTGTTTGCACTATTAATGGAAGTCTATAACTTGCAATACATAGGTTGATGATATTATATCAAAGTATATCCCTCAATGGCAAAATTATAGCTCAATCAAATAAAATACTATACTATACTATACTATACTATCATACTATACTACATTTTATACATTATATACATACATACATACATACACATATACATTTCATACATGAAGATGATTATTTTTATGTACATACATATTTCTATATAGTAGTGCATATATCGTATGTAGTTCTACATTGTTACGAAATTACACATGCCTGTTAATCACTTACTATCGGCTTATAAGTGTTATAAGCATCTGGCGAATCAATGACCTGCAGACTGATCCATTGCACTCATAGATTTTATTGCGTGTTCATAATATTATGTTGTTATAATGAGTTGGTTTTTCTGAAATAATGCATGCCTTTATTATGTAGAATTTTCACCATGCCAGAAAATTTTTCAGAAACGAATCAAAAAATTGTTGCGGTGATTTAAATTTATCAATAGCACAGAGTTGTGTTTTCTATCGTATTTTTTTGTTTTGTGTATTCCTACACATTTTGTGGCTTCTAATTTTGAACACCGGATTGTTACTGGTGTTAGGGCATCTTCTAACCACGCATGTGTAGGTATCACCATTATACAGTGAAGCAGTAATGCGTTTCAGCTTACAGCCCTTGTACTGTAAAACTGAAACATAAAACTCATGTCTCAAAGTGGATGACTGCATTTGTCTTAACTAACCACTGAAAATAAAATGGGCCGGAAGCTCTTTCACTAAGCCATAAGCTCATCCATTGATATTAAATTCGTCTAAACTCTTAACGGCAGCTCAAATTTTCTTTTTAAATAGTAATCTATAACGTTAATACCTTTTTTTTTAATAAAGGTTTATTTATTCTGAATTTAATAATGTATACTAAGAATAGTAAAGTTAAATGCTTTTTTAATGCTAATGTATTAATAGAAATACGTTAATGGCGAACGTTATAATTGACTGGGCGACCGCAACAATAATTGTGTGGAAAACTACACACTGATAATGGCTTAGCTTTAAATGTCTTATATTTTTTTAACCCATTTAATTAATGATTTTTGCGAATTTCGATATTGGAAAGTTTCCTAAGCAGGCAGCTTGGACCAATACAATCCGGCGAATTCGATTATTTATAGGATTATTTGTGAGGTCACCCAAGTTCTTTCTTTACAGTGCCTGTCCTGAGAATTCAGCGAGAGCTCGACCATATGGGGTCATTTAAGTCCTGCAGACTCGTCGGACTTTGCCAGCTAACAGGATATTGAAAAGCATATTTCAAGGAAGAACTAAGAATAGCTTGGGTTCTATGGATTTCCAGTTAAATATTGACTCGTGAACTCAATTTATATATGAAAGTAATATTTTGAAACCGAACAACCGTAACCAAATAATTGTTTGATAGTTATAAGTAATAAATAAATAAATAAAAAGTACAAAATCCAAAGGAGGCGAGTAATGGGATCATCGAAGATAGATCCATAATCTGTGGCTTTCTGTTTGACGATGCTGAATCACATTTCTACCAATAAATCATAATTTATTACTGGTGTAAACCAATGTTAATTTTAGAATTCATAACCTTTTGCACAAGATTGTAAGTGCGAATCAAAATTTTAAGTAACTTATTTTAAATAGATTATGTGTAATTACCTATGTAGAATAGTACCGTGGCGTTAGTAATGGTTCGTTTTTGTGTACAATCCATTGATTCATGGGGGTTCCTTTTGATCCAATCTTAGTGCTGTTCGAAGCTACAGCAACAAAAGCAAAAGTCACCATGAGCCTGAACCCGCAGTATCAGCCTTCTGATCCTGATCTTCTCGGCAGGACGCGGTTCCGATTAAGGTGGTGGATGAACTCGCGATGCAGCTGTCCTTGAGCAGTTAGGCCTCCTCCGGTGGCACTAGAGCTGTTGTTATTAGAAATTCGCCTTCAGGCTGAGCCCTCGAGGTCCCCGTTCATCCTGACTAAGCACCAAGGTCTCTGGACGAATGGTGATCGTTCAACCCAAAAATAATAATTACTGACAAGTGGTTTGTGGTTAGCAAATCTAGTATTGAAATATATTCTATGTGATCATAACACCTATACTCTTAATCATGTAATAATTTTAATATGTACTTCAAAAAATGTATTTAGTTTACCATAATAATATTCCTCCATTTCTATCAAAAAAATTGAACCTTTAACATTGTAGATGACTTTTCAATTTGAAGTAAAACTTCTATACGCGCTTTGAAAGTAAAATTTACTGTATAAGTAAAAGTAAAAGTAGAGAAAAGTTACTGCTTACGGGCGGTGGCCACTAGATGGTTGGTTATTAGTTTCTCATTGCTTCTGTAGATGGTGTAACATATTAACGATCTTAAATTTTATTTAGCTTAGCGACATCTATTGTGTTTCATATAAACTACTACATTGCAAGGCCAACGGTGTGAACAGTTTAGTTTCTAAAATATTTACAGAGAGAGGTATTTTAAATAAAAGTAATGTTTTAAATTATCACTAAAAATATTATTAAATATATCGTTCGGAATTTTATATGTGCTGTGAAAATACTGTGCAAAATTTATTGTAAAATTTATGTAACACAATTTTATGTAAGTAACATCATCACGTTGGATTTGAATTTTGAATATTTTATGCACAATCAAGTAAATAAGATGACTATGATTTCGTACATGAGTACTGAAAATTCCTTATTCTCTTCTGCATAGTTCGTTATGCCCAAATCGTCGACAAATCGATCTGAAGAGGATCACTCATTTGAATTTTCATAGTGAATATTTTATGTATAATCAAGTAAATAATATGAACATGATTTCATACATTAATACTGAAAATTCGTTATTCCCTTCTGCCGGAATCGTCGACTAATCGATCTGAAGAGGATCACTGAATTTTTATTTTGAATTTTTATAGTGAATATTGAAGTGAAACTTTAGGCGCGTTGAGAGCAAAATTTAACTCGTCACAGATTCGTTTCGGCTAGAGAAAAAATATATAATTTAGGAAGAGCGAGAATTAGAAAATAGATCATCTCGCGAACCACTCAACCGTGGAAAGCGGGAAAGAACAAAGCGAACTATAGTAGAGTTATTTTGTCGCTGCAGTTTGGGTAATAAAAAGTCGGAGCGGTGAAGCGAATATTTCGCTCTCTCTTCCTTCCGCTCACGAGCCTTATGGACGAGCATAGTGATGCGCATTATTGTTGTCAATAAGCGTTATCGATAGTGTATTTAGATTTGTCATTTTGTGGGTTAGTGATAAAAATGAAAGAAAAAAGTTGATAAAGCAACGTATAAGTACAAAAGTTTAGAGTCACAGTGTGTTTCATTAATAACGATCTCGGTTATAACGACTTTTTAGTTATAGCGAAGTCACACATACGTCCCTTGAATTTAAAGCATACTTTCCCAGAAAATTCATTCGGTTATAGTGACTTTGGATATAGCGTCAACTTCGGGTATAGTGACTTGTTTTTATGAACTATTTATGACAGATTCCCAGAAACCCCTTACGGATATTGGTATTGAGTCGGCAAAGGCATAAAGACTTTCATAAAACTATTAAGCTTTCTCATCATTTGTTTACATTCACAGATGGTCAAGCAAATGCTTTATTTGTATGTACATACAAACAAACAAAGAATTTGTTTGACCATCTGTGTAGGAACATACAAACAAAGCATTTTCTTGACCATCTGTGTAGGAACATACAAACAAAGCATTTGCTTGACCATCTGTGCTAAGTAGTCCTCTACTGAGCACGGGAAACTTATGTGAATATTGACGATCAAGCTATCATTACTGATAACTTGACTGATAGTGAAATTATTGTCTGTGCTTCAAACACAAGAAGAGGAGGATGAAGAAGAGGAAGAAGATTGCAATCTAAATGAAATTGCAACAACTATAGATGCATTATATGTTATAACAAAGCTCAAAAAGCTCAAAAAGTACTGTTTATTTGGTGAAGGTCAAAATAATTTAGATGTAGGAGGCGGCCTCCGGATATAGCGACGACATTAAAGTGCCCCCTCCGCCGTCATTATAACCTAAATTCACTGTATATTAAAAATAAATATAAATAATTGTCTAAGTTTAAAATTAACAGCAAAAAAGATAATAATGATATAAAAATAAATTATTAGTATACTAATAAATCAGGATCATCAGAGTCATCGTCATCCACATGAATTACGAATTCTTCTGCCAGATGAGATTTCTTCAAGTCTACCTCTTGGAGTTTTTCTGCATGCTTCACACAATCTTCCCAGTTCTTTTGCGAAACGTTCGAAATTGCCTTATGCACTAACACTTCGACGTCAGCAATTTTAAAAGTTCTATTTTTGCTGGCAACTTCATTTTTTGCTTGAGCCCATACCAACTCAATTGGGTTATATTGGCAATGGTAAGGTGGTAAGCGAATCACTTCGTGTCCTGACTCCAAAGCTAACTGATACAATTCGTATATTTTTTCTGGTCGGTTCCGGTGCACCTGTAAATATAATGTTGTTTGTATATTCCACTAAATACTTAAAAGAAAACAAATGTATTGCAAACTTTAAATAATAAAATCTGAAATACCTTTTGTAATAGTTCCGGCTTGAGCTCACTCTCACTAAACTCAATCCCGTGTTCGCGGAGCCACTCCTGAATTTCACTCTTTTTGTTAGCTGATGTTGGTGCCTGATTTATTTGCTGGGAGTGGTAGGGTGCGTTGTCCATTATGATGACTGATAGTTCTTCAAGACTCTGCAGCAGTTTTGTAAACCAGTGTGTGAAGCCTTTGGCATTCATTTCTGAATGGTAGCCCTCGTTCGGAGACTTCACAGCGCGGAAGACCCATCTGGCTTCGGGTATAAAACCATACTTTGCGCAGCCTGCATGACGAACTGAAACAACATAATAAAGTGAATATCATATTTTGTCTTAAATTATCATTAAGTCGGATTTCTTACATAAAAGATGAAAGAATATTTACCAATTAGCTTGCCCCTCTTTTCCGTTTTTGTATTTAAGCCACCTTGTCCATCCTTGTCTAGCCAAATTCGTTTGCGGCTGTGATTTTGGTTCACCCAAGTCTCATCTAAATAAATTCTTGGTCGAGTGTCTTCACTATCTCTCAGGGTCTTGAGTTTTCTCAGGAATTGTAGCCGCGCACAAACGATGTCAGTCCTTTCCATCAATTGTTTACGACCATATGAAGCTTGTATGTACTTGTACCCAAGTTCTATGAGTATTTTACGCATAGAAGTAATGGAACACTGGAATCCGTCAATTCTTTCTGTTGCTCTACTCAAAATTTTAGCCGTGGAAGGATATTCACCGTCGCAATAAAACGATGACACTATTTGTTTAATTACACTTTTGTCAAAGTCGTCTAACGCAGTTACTGTACAAGGCCGATTGATGCTTTCTCGTGGAGAGCTAACTTCTCCCTTTACACACTCATTTTTAATTTTGTCGACCGTTCTAACACTCACACCACATATCGCCGCAGCAAGTTCACGAGAACGGCAGAAATTAACACTTTTTAACTTTTTAGGATCTATTTTCATTTCAGTAAAAAAAATTAAAACATTGTTGATAACAACACGTGCTTGTGCTGGTATATTGATGCCAACAGGCAAAATATTATTTTGAATAATTGAAATGAAAAATATTATTTATTAATGAAAAATATTTTAAATAATAATTATTTAATATTTTTTATAATTTAATATTTTTTTATAATTTAATATTTTAAATAATAATTTTTTATTAATGAAAAATATTATTTTGAATAAATTGTGCTGTTTTGGTACAAAAGAAAGGAGTAGCCATTGTGTCACTAAAGAAATTCAGAGAACGAATGCACAAAAACAAATTTCTCTTCGACATATATGCTATGACTGCCTTCGATGACTTATTTGTTTCTATTGATAATGGCGTTGCGCCCGCGCAACATGCTCACCGCCCTAGCCCGGCTGTGTTTTATGACCCAAACTGCAGCGACAAAATAACTCTACTACAGGTGGTTTGTTTTATACACAGCATTCCCGGTTACTATGAAAAATTAATAAATCCACAGTACTACACACTGTAAAAGAAGTTTCACTTCTTTCACGTGCACCAAGTTGCACGCCCACCATTTTTTTATTTTACTATTTTTCATAAATTACATTATGTAAGTAGCAAATTAATTATAATCCTTTTGTGTCAAAGTAAGTGACGGCGTTGTGTGCGGCCTTTTCGTTGTGTCTGCAATACAACGCGGAGCCGCTTTATACGCAACCATCAAAAGCCAATTGATATTAAATTCGCACACTTATCATTGACGGGCAAGAAGTTTCGTCCATTATTACAAATCACAGCATGTAGCGGAGATTTCTTATTGAAAATATGTTCTGTTGAGAGTATATTTATACAATGACATTTATAAACTTAACCCAAAAGTCCTGTCAACGACCAGGAAGAATTCCAGAGTTCAATGATAACAAAAGTAAAAGTAAAAACTGGACAATTGCGAGTATAATTCGTGACAGGAAAGTTTCGGGTTTGCTAAGGCCGTCTTTAGATCTTAAGTAAAGCTACGTACGTCTTCATTCTAATATTAATCATGTACTGAACGTATGAGTGCCTTACAGTATAACTAGAAATTTTGTGAAACAAAGGACCATTGATGAGAAGTATAGAAGATGTGTATGTAATCTTGTAGGATTTTAAATACTAAACGATTTATTTATAGCTGTTGCGTTATGATAATTAAGCGTGGACTTTATTTTGATGAAATATTTATTTTACCGTTATATGGCAAATTTAAAGACTTCATAATATAAGACAAATATAAAATTGATGCATTTCTCTTGGCGGCTGGATTTGAAAAAGAGTTGGTGTCATGGCAGACGTCGCTCACTGACACTTTGACGTTCAGAAATTCAACAATAACCCACCGTTAAAAGAATATTGGATAAAAACATATGCCTACTAGCAAAACTAACTAGAAAAATAAAACAATTCACTGCACATAATTCTCCACTTTCTCGCCAAAAAGTATTTTTTCTTGACAAAATCAAATTTACCTAAGGGTAAGCCGCTTAGTTTACCTGGCTATCAAATCATCACGACGGCTATTACTACTTTTTAGCCCAATTTGCTGAGATTGATACACACACGATATACATTCGGGCAAATATACAACACAAGAAAAAAATCTTAAATAGTTTAAATATTATAGCAAGATATACGGACACATATTCTGCCTATCCAGTACGCCGAACAAAACCAAAAACAAACCACCGAGGAATGTAATAGGAAAAACCAAATAAAAATTACTAAAAACTAAGAAAGAAAATGTACGTGGATTTTTTGATAATGGAGATTTATTTAATTGATAAAGAAAATGAAATTGGTCACTAGCGATTTGGGTATTATCTTTGTGCATTTTCGATAGGTAACGATCGATGCAGACGTAAGAATATGAATTCAAAAATATTTTTTTATATGTCAAAGATACAAAATATCCTGTTTTCACACTTTTCTTTACTTGTACGGTAAAACCTTAGAATGATGGCGTTCATTGAGAAATTTGAGATTTTATGATTTTCTTTTGCCAATACTATTTTCTTATACTTCATACATCTAATGGTTCTTGAAAAAGAGTCTTAACTGTCTGACAGACAAAGAGACTAACAACAAAGTTGTCCTATTATTTCAAATTAAGGGTACTAAAATTAATAAAAATGAAACAAGTGTTTTATGCATTACACAACATAACAAAACAAAATTATTACAAAAAGTCTGAAAAATAAAATTTCGAAGCCTTAGCTAACCTTATTATTAAAATGCTTTGAATTTGTTGTGGGTACAAATATTTGTCAGAAGTTTGCAGAAGTGTTTTAATTCACATGATCCAATGGCAGTCTAATTTTAATGAAAGGAATCTGAAATAATTTGATCATCAAAATATTGACGTAGTTTTTTTTATTGTGGCTCGCACGGTTTGTGCATTAGCCAGTGTCAAGTAATAAGAAAAATAAAAACGAAGGAAACTGTCCATGTTGGCTGTTATTAATATCAGTGTAAGTATGAATTAAATTAGCAGCGTAAGACGGTATAGATAACTAGGTTGAGAAAGTAATTTGATTAATGTAGTAATTAACTCTGCAAATGATAATATGAACTGAAATGAAATGAAGTCGATTAATATGATGAAACATGGCATTAAATGAAATGAGATGAGATGATATGGGATGAAATGTAATCTCAATAAAATGGTGGTCATTTACGGAGACTTTCTCAGTGGACTTTTTGGAGGATCCCGAGAAGTTACGTCCAGCGGCTTGGTTCCATTTTCCCACATTTGTGCACTTCACAGATATTAAATAGTTAATAAACCACCGTTATTAGTATACATATTATTATTATAAACCACCGTTATACATTTAAACCCGAAGAAACGCTAAATAGACAAATTATAACAAATCACACAATTTCACTCCTCGCGCTCCCGCCAAAAAGTCCTTTATACATATATCGCTACATATTAACCATAGATAATACACTTAATATTTACATATTAACTTCTAAGGATGAGGACCAATTAAAAATGTTGTTACAATTTTTGAATAAAGTTACTTAGAAAATAGAAGCTGGCGAAAGGCAGAGTAACGAGGAACACTCCAGCTAATAAATACATCGGAAGTTTAAAGGTGAATTCATTGCAGGTAGGTTATAAAAAAATAAATCTATGTTTCAAGGTTAGGTAAGTAATTATCCGATCCATTAACGGTGCTTTTAGGCACCACAAGCACCGGTCACCGTCCGCGTCGAAGCCGTCGCTTGCGACGAAGGGCTCGACGAGCGAATTAGCCCATAGACACAGCCTACTGAGTTTCTTCGCCGGATCTTCTCAGTGGGTCACGTTTCCGATCCGGTGGTAGATTCTGCGAAGCACTGCTCTTGCTAGGGTCAGTGTTAGCATCACTCCGGTTTGAGCCCCGTGAGCTCACCTAATAATTAAGGTTACGCTGAAATAGCCTCTCAAGGTTATCAACTTAGGTAGGAAAAAAAAAGCATAAATGGGCAGGTAAGCGTTGTGTACCTGATTGTGAATGAGACCGCCTATTTAAAAATAAGTTACTAAATTTCTGATGAAATAAAATAAAATCTTTTACGGTACTACCTATTTAACAAATCAGATTTATTTACAGCCAAAATAGTCGCAGACCATTGATGCTTACCCGGGTTGAGTCGGTACGACCTGTCGCTTATAAAGTTTGCTTTTAATTTTTTGAAGTGAAACTTCCTTATCGGCGTTGGAAAAAAATTTACCGTCACATTTTTCGGTTACGCGTCACATTTTTCCGTTACGCGCCATCTTTTTTGTATTCATGTCTATGATAATAAAATCCTTTTGTTTAAACTTTATCTAATTTAACTTTATTTAACCAATTTCTAGAAAGTTGCATGTAGATCATTTTTCGAAAAATAAGGCCATAAAGAAGTTTCACTTCTTACGTGTGTACACTAGTACACGCACAAATTTTTTTGAAGTGAAACTTCTTTATCGGCGTTGGAAAAAAATTTACCGTCACATTTTTCGGTTACGCGTCACATTTTTCCGTTACGCGCCATCTTTTTTGTATTCATGTCTATGATAATAAAATCCTTTTGTTTAAACTTTATCTAATTTATTTTTTTGAAGTGAAACTTCTTTATCGGCGTTGGAAAAAAATTTACCGTCACATTTTTCGGTTACGCGTCACATTTTTCCGTTACGCGCCATCTTTTTTGTATTCATGTCTATGATAATAAAATCCTTTTGTTTAAACTTTATCTAATTTAACTTTATTTAACCAATTTCTAGAAAGTTGCATGTAGATCATTTTTCGAAAAATAAGTTTCACTTCTTACGTGTGTACACTAGTACACGCACACATTTTCTTTTTTTTTTATGATTGAAGGATTACTGGTGGCCCGGAGGCCTTTCCAGTTTCACCAGGACAGGGCTTTTAATTAGTTTTTTGCAATGAGTATGAAAATTTCAAACTCGAAATTCCATTTATTATCATCTCGACATATATATTCATTTTTTTTTTAATTATTTTGAGCACCGGTGCGACTCTTGCACCATATAATATTTAGGTAGGTAATGTGAAAAATTCATACTTATTCCCAACAAAATTGTTCTTTGGTTAAAAATCTTTTGGACAAATATCATTTCACTTTACCATTAATAAGTTATAAGGAGGAAAAACGTTAAGCTTCAAGAAAAGCGAAAGGCTATTTTAATGCATGTCACGAGAGATTCTAGCGTCAGCAAAGTACAGTGATAAATCTTTATATATTTCTTCTGTGCATGAGTTTGTCACTGGACTTCTTCTAAACGGCTGGACCGATTTGAGTGTTTTTTGTATATATGCGTTTGGGTGGCAGGGCACTTGCAGTCGATATCTAGGTTATTTATCTTTCCTAGAAATAATTTACATGGCAAAACAACGTTTGCCGGGCCAGTTACTTTAAGTAAAACTTTCGCTTTCATTAAAGAAAAATCGAGTACATTGTAAAATTTTGCGTTAGGCAGTGGCTTGGATCTGCCCCTGGCATTGCTGAAGTCCATGGGGACGGTAATCACTCACCATCAGGTAGGCCGTATGCTCGTCTGCCTACAAGGGCAATAAAAAAAAGACTAGACATCGCATAGTTTCGAACTACCTGGCTGAGTTTTTGCTCCTTTGTACTGGTTAAACAGAGAAGCCCCCCTGTGTGCTTAGTGCGAGCTTTTCACTGCCTACGTTTGCCATCAGAGCCTTTTACGCGATCGAAAATTGAAAAATTCGCACTAAGCATATAGTATTCATCCCGTCCGAAAAAAAAGTTTTTAACTATATGTTTTTAACTTATACACTGGCTTATTACCTGGCGTTCGCCGATCACCCATCCCCCTTTTAGCAGTCCTACCATCAGCAAAATACTTTAACCAACCTTTTCTCACTGGTGGTAGGACCTCTTGTGAGTCCGCGCGGGTAGGTACCACCACCCTATTTCTGCCCTGAAGCAGTAGTGCGTTTCGGTTTGAAGGGTTGGGCAGCCGTTGTAACTATACTTGAGACCTTAGAACTTATATCTCAAGGTGTGTGGCGCATTTACGTTATAGCTGTCTATGGGCTCCAGTAACCACTTAACGTCAGGTGGGCTATGAGCCCGTCTAAGCAATAAAAAAAAAGTTTGCACGAATAGCAAAGGTTTTGCACGTTGTCATCCCTATGCCACTTTGCAATGGATATACTCCTGGAGATGTTATCCGTGGAGGACTGACATAAGGTAGACAGCCGGTCGTACGTAACTCATACCAAATCCCTGCTGTGTCGACCCCACATAATGTGAGCTAAGGGCAAGAAGAAAAAGAAGAGTATTTTTCTAGTAACCACAAGGTCTTAACGGCAACTCTTAATACCGCTACGTGTTATAGGTTACCATAGAAAGGACCTCTTGTCCCGCGGTTTGTGGTGGCATAATTGAATATTAGATGTATGACTTAGCGCCCAGTACAGCAATGAAAAAAAAATTGTCTTGAAATAAATTGACTATAGTTTTATTCTTGTCTTTTTCTTAATGGGTAAGTAATTGAAAGGAAGTGCTGAAATGATGTCACACATTAAGTGACAAAATAAAAGGAAAAAAGAAAAAAAACTAAAGATTTTTTACTTAATCTAAGCTGCTTTAATTCAGTACGTCCGATCAGAGCCTCATCACTGATTCCTACATTTACAATGCTTTCGGAGTAGCGGAATATAACTAGTCAGGTCATAAGTATTGTCACACAGTAAAAACTTTTCTTTTAGAATGCTGGCCACAAAAAAGTTTATTGAATTCGAATTTCGAGTTGTTCATGAAAATAAAAATGTATACTTTTAGAATTTTACTCATTTTTAAATATAGAGTGGACGCTTAAAGAAGACCGTGTTGCAGTTATTGCGTTGCATCGTTGCGGTTACGCGCCAATTCAAATTTTTAACATACTGAAAATTTTGAATATAACCAAAAGATTTGTTTATCGTACCATCAAACGATACAATGAAGACTCTAGTGTAGGTGACAGGTCAAGAAGTGGTCGCCCTCGGTCTGTTATGACTCCAGCAGTGATAAAAGCTGTGAAGGCGCGAATTCAAAGAAATCCCAAACGTAAGCAGAAACTATTGGCCCTTCAGATGGGGTTAAGCAGAATCACGGTGAAAAGGGTGTTAAATGAAGACTTAGGGCTTCGGGCATATCGAAGAAAAACAGGACATCGTTTGAATGCTCGTCTAATGGACCTGAGACTGAAGAGATGCCGCGCTTTGTTGAAGCGGTACGCGGGAAAAAAATATCGGGAAATTCTTTTTTCGGATGAAAAAATTTTTACCCTAGAAGAGAGCTACAACAAACAAAATGATAAGGTGTACGCACACAGTAGTGAAGAACCGAGCAACCGTATTCCGCGTATCCAACGAGGTCATTTTCCATCCTCGCTCATGGTATGGTTGGGAGTTTCTTATTGGGGCTTAACAGAGGTACATTTTTGTGAGAAAGGTGTAAAAACAAATGCAGTTGTGTATCAAAATATAGTCCTGACGAACCTTGTGGAACCTGTTTCTCATACCATGTTCAATAACAGGCACTGGGTATTCCAACAAGATTCGGCGCCAGCTCATAGAGCGAAGAGCACACAAGACTGGCTGGCGGCGCGTGAAATCGACTTCATCCGGCACGAAGACTGGCCCTCCTCCAGTCCAGATTTGAATCCGTTAGATTACAAGATATGGCAACACTTGGAGGAAAAGGCGTGCTCAAAGCCTCATCCCAATTTGGAGTCACTCAAGACATCCTTGATTAAGGCAGCCGCCGATATTGACATGGACCTCGTTCGTGCTGCGATAGACGACTGGCCGCGCAGATTGAAGGCCTGTATTCAAAATCACGGAGGTCATTTTGAATAAACTTTAGTGTCATAAGAATCTATGTTTTCTTAAGTTCATTTTGGTATATGAATGGTTACATAATGAATAAACTTGTTTCAATTATTTTACTTTAAACATGTGACAGAATTTATGACCTGACTAGGTATATTAATACGATTAATGTATACGGTTAATACGCATAGCATCCTGAAATCGAAAGAAATGTATCGAAGTGGTCACAAACCTCGGATATGAGGAGCACGACTGAAGGAGAAGAAAGTATTGAATTTGAAGAAACCTAAACATCTTCAGCTAGCTTTCTCAATAAAGTATGTAAAATGTTCACTTAAAGACCATAGATTAGAAACAGCATGCAAGAACTAAATTAGTCCTCGCTCCGTGTATGGGAAGTGCTCTGAAGAACTGTTCGAAACAATATCATTTTCTTTTTGCACTGCACAACGTATCTCTTCGTCAACGTACATCTTCAGAAAAAATAAATCTCGTACCAGCAACCTATTATGTACCGTGCCTCGGCAAAATAACAAAATATGTTGTATGTACTTCGTTATTAGAAATTTTAGATGAGAAAAAAAAACATAGAAAGAGAGACTACAGACCACATTATCACAGACATTATGCCTTAATTTATAGTTAGTGATATTGAAAAGTATTATAATTGTTCGCATGGTGTTGGGAAAAGACCGTCACTACGATTCACATGGTTCTGCTGTGATGCAAGTTCTACCCTTCCGTTGCAGTACATAATTTTCCACCTAGCCTCTCATAATTGTAATGAGTAAATGTGACGGGATCATCTTCGGAGTACAAAACTGTTTGTCAAAAGTCTCTCTAAGGATCTAGAGGCCTCAAACGGTTAAATCCGGTTAATGGAGCCGATAGACATAACTTGAATAACGCCATCCACACCAATACATGAAATACTACAGCTAGACGGTCATCCTAGTCTTTCGACTGGAACGCACGCATGCTCTCTGGTTAATGAAATGTAAGTACAGCAGGTAGTGTTCGGTATGGTATGTTTTTGTCGCTTGATAAATAGCTGAATAGACTTATCAATCTAAGGTCCACTAATCCTTTTTTATTTAATTTTTTTTATTGCCCTTGTAGGCATACGAGCATACGGCCCACCTGATGGTGAGTGGTTACCGCCGCCCATGGACTTCAGCAATGCCAGGGACAGAACCACCGCTTAATACTCTCCACAAGCCTCGTTTGAAGAAGGACATGTCATAGCGCTCGGGAAACACCGTGGAGGGGACCTCATTCCATAGCCGGATGGTACGTGGCAAGAAAAACTTCTGGAATCGCACTGTGGATGACCGCAGTGGCTCCAGGTAGTATGGATGAACTCTATTCCGGTGGCGGGCGGTGCGATGGTAAAAACGAGATGACGGTATCATCTCGAACAATTCCTACACAAAATTGTCAGAATTGTATTATTCTACTATAAAAAACTTATAAATACTATCGCGAATACCTAGACAAGTTCATTTTATAAAAGCTGCAATTTTAATATTGCCCCTTATTGTTTTTAGAGTTATGAATCTCGACTGCATTGCGCTATCTTTCATTATACATATTAAATGTACGTAATGTATGAAGTACAATAGTGGTTACTGAAACTCATAGATGGTGAATTTCGCAGTATAAGATATGAGATTAGTCTTAATTGTAACACATACAATTCTAGCTGATCTATCTTTGAAACTGAAACGAATTAATGCCACGCAAAAATTTGAAACGGACCGTATCTTTGTCTACTTGATCACATAAGGAAGGCCCGTTACTTTTTTTTTTTAATCCCTACCTATGCTGATAGCCTTGAGAGGCTATTTCAGCTTCACCATAACGTTAGTAGGTGAGCTCGCGGGGCTCAACCGGAGAGTTGCTAACACTGACCCTAGCAAGAGCAGTGCTTCGCAGAATCTACCACCGGATCGGAAACGCGACCCACTGAGAAGATCCGGCGAGAAACTCAGTGGGCTGTGTCTATGGGTTAGTTCGCTCGTCGAGCCCTTCGTCGCAAGCGACGGGTTCGACGAGGACGGNGAGTTGCTAACACTGACCCTAGCAAGAGCAGTGCTTCGCAGAATCTACCACCGGATCGGAAACGCGACCCACTGAGAAGATCCGGCGAGAAACTCAGTGGGCTGTGTCTATGGGTTAGTTCGCTCGTCGAGCCCTTCGTCGCAAGCGACGGGTTCGACGAGGACGGTGACCGGTGCTTGTGGTGCCTAAAAGCACCGTTAATGGAAGGCCCGTTACTATTCGACATGTAAGTACGTTGTTGCATCAATCAATACGAAGGCAGGTCATCTTTCTTAAATACCTTTTTACTAAACTACCGACTCTTGGTATCATGCCAGAAGCCTTCCCTGAAGTAACAAACAAAATTTATAAAGTTTCAATTCAATCATAAAAACCCCGAACGAACGCATAGAACACTAACAAAATAGAAAACGAACACATCTTCATCCTTTAATTTAGAGAAAATGAAAAATGCAATATATACTGCAACTGCGCATGTCTTCTAATATCGATTTGCAAATGTTCTAGACGGCTGCCTGAGCTACTTACTGGCTGAGCCACTGGCGGAACACAGACATTTCCTTTGAACGTATTAACACATATTCTGTGTATTTATCTATTATCTCGTGTTTTAAGTACAGCAGCTGGTTCACATTCACGGTAAGTTACTGAAAAATCATGAGTTCATTGTTATAATGTGTTTTCTTTAGATGAGCTTTAGGTGCGTACTAATTTGGGAAGAAATTACGCAAATATAAAACTAAGTGGTTAAAGCTTAATAATAATGAAGTGGAATGACGATTTAAACATTGACAACGATCTGTTAAAATTTCTTTATATTCTTGTGACTCTGGTAATTTGAAAGAAGTATTTTTTTTTTTGAAGATCCCATTTCTTTGTGTACATATCAACAAGTAGGTAAGCAACTTATTTGCTCTGCACAAAGATAGAAAAGAAACACATCGTTTCTCGTTTGAATACCAAAAATTCCGTACTGCTGGTTCAATGGCTGCTATTTGAAAATATATAATTTCAGCATTTACTATTGCGTTTCAATACCTGTAGCTATTTTTGTGCTTCTGTATATTTCGGGGCTCACCCATGTAGCAAATGATTTTGACACGGTGCTATGTATTGATCAATAATATGAACTACGCTTATGGACAATTATATAAGAATGCAAAAAAAACATATTTTCTGTTGTACCTAATTATCCTGGAGACTTGTCTCAGAAAATAGAAAATGAAACAAAGAGAGTACTTTAATATTAAATACTTTTAATATTAAAATATATTCATTATATACTAATTTCAAATTAACATTATTATTTACTGCGTACTATTTTTGCAATATTTTAATTTAGTTTTTTTTTGCATTCTTTAACTTATATATCGTGTTAAATGTAATCAAATCAAATATTTAAAAATATCGGAATTTACTGGTACATCTACTTGGCCGGATTATTTATTGCATGTTTCGCGGGGTGGACATAAACGGAGAGGTGTAAGCAGAGATGACAAGTTCATTGTTTGTAGTATGGACCATCGTTATCTGAAGTAAGAACAAAGCTCTTTACTGGTGGTAGGGCCTCTTTTACTGGCTTTGTTTGAAAATAGAAGATTGGAATATGATTGGCAAATAATAGAAGGATTGCAGTGGAGGCGCCCAGGTGAGAGAAGATTCAATGCAACATTGATCAATGGAACAATGGGAAAATCATCATTCGTAGCTTTGGGATTGGATCACTAACAGCTGCACGTTATAATTAAATTGAGTTTTTGTAACAAAACGTTGTACCTCTTCATCTCTCTGAAATAAATGTGGTTTTTTTTTCATGATACTGCTATTACAGATGTCTAACACCTTTGTTATTAAAAACAAACCTATAAGTTAACTTAAGCGCCATAGTATATAAGAAATAATCTTGGAAGAAAAATTAAGAAGATATGATCCGCCGCCTTATATTGAGAGATCTCTAAAATGCATCTCAAGAAGAATGGAACTAAGTCTCTTAAAATTTGATTGATAACGTGAATTAGGCTAATTCAAGGACATTAGAAGAAATAAAGGAAGCAATACTAGACTCAGATTCCAGACTTTCCTAAGGATTTATGAAAAAAAAAATGTCAAGTAAAAAACGTACAAAAGAAAAAATAATTTTGTAAAATACTCCTTTATTAAATGTCGTCAGTTTTTGTCATTTGATCCTTTGTTTTATTATCCTTTACGTTTTAAAATTTTATAATAAAAAGTAGGTAAATCCGAATTGTTAAACTTATTGTTACTAATAGTCATGATTTATGTTTTAGGCAAAAATCAAACAGCGACCACGAAGAGTATACTTATTATATTTCTTATTTCTGTACATATAGAAAGTATAATATAAGCAATAAAAGCATTAATTTGTTCATAATTAAAATTGATGTAGAGCAACAAACCTCTGTGCTAAGAAATAGAGTTCATTTTTACAAAACCATAATTTGTATTTGCGTACCTACCAAAAAACCATGGTTTACATATTTATACATTTCATAAAATTTCAATATTCAGCACACACATACATATGGTACACAATTTTAACTATACATTATATATTATACTAGCGACCCGCCCTCGCTTCGCTTCGGAAACTGTAATTTATTATTGATTTCTCCACTATTTAATGGATGTTATTATACATATATAAACCTTGCTCTTCAATCACTCTTTCTATTTAAAAAACCGCATCAAAATCCGTTGCGTAGTTTTAAAGATTTAAGCATACATAGGGACAGACAGATATAGGGACAGAGAAAGCGACTTTGTTTTATACTATGTAGTGATATGAATATCTAAGTAAATGTCATCTGTGTTAATTATCATCATTTTAAAATTATTGTGATTTTTTCTTTGACTAAGGAACGGTACTGAATTATAATTGTCATTTGGTTGATTGGTTGTGTTAATTGCTTGTGCTTTTATTAAGCATATCGTTTATAGAACCTCAAAGATGATACCGAAGCTGAACAGGAATGCGATATTAGTGGGGAAAGTCCACTCCTGCTGTCTTGTCTGTGGCAATTACTTCCCCACTGAGAAGGATGCTAACAGACATATTTCGAAAAAAGGCCACAAGAAGAATTTGGAAGCTAACGGCTTCGTGGAAGAATTTATAAATGACCACATTAGGGAGGTTAGTGCTCTTTATTTAACAATTATAAAATAAAGATAAACAAATAAACTATTATAAAAAATCGGTTTATTACTCTACTGTTAATTGAAATAAATTATTTTTTTCGGTTTATACAGGTCAAAAACGGATTCTTCTGTGAATACTGTAACAAGTACATATCGGGGCCCACCAAAATAAGGCTCCATATTTTGGAAAACACGCATATCAATAATAAGGGCATCCGAAACCTGGAAAGAGTGGGAAATAATATAGTTGCTTTCAAAAATGTGACTATCGCCAAAGCAGCTTGGCATGGAATCGTTGGACATACCTGCTTGATCTGCAATATTAAATTTGGAGATATGGAGATTCACATTTCTACTAAGGAGCATCTCTTTAAATTAGTGCAAACTGAAGTGAAGTTTGCAACTCATAAAGGACTCTACAGGACGGTTAGTATGTCACTCAAGGTATTTACTAAGCTTGGAAAAATGAAAGATAAAATTTAGGTTACAGCAAAGAAAGCTATAGTATTGAGTAAACGCTTTTACTTGAATTTTTTTTCAAATGTTTTTCCATAGTCCTTGTCCTCTAAATTATCGACTTATTAAAAAAGTATTTACTATTGTTACTACATGATTTGAAAATTTCCGAATTTCAGATGAAGGAAAACTCTGTTCATTGCTTGACGTGCAATGAAGTTATTAAAACCGCTACTCAAATATTTGTGTCACTCCACTTTTCCCATCCTAAGCACAAACAAAAGTATCAGCAATTAGAACGTAGAGATGCTGAACCTAACGTGCGAGTTGAATCACCAGTTTTACAGCTGGATAAAACTGGTGACGAAGATACATCAGATGATGGCAACCAGGAAGGTGAAGGACAATATCTGGATGTGGCCCAGGGCTATTCCTACGAGGAGCCATTGCTTGTTTGCGATTCGAAAGATTCACAGGAGCATGTAGTAAAAAGGGAGCCTCTGCATCAATTCGTCAATACCATTTTCGTGATTGAACATTATTCGGCAGCTAACAAAGACGTCGTCATTAACAGGAGAATTGTTGTGAACGTATTCAGCTTTTATTTGGTAACGAACACGGACACTTTGAAATGTCAAGCTTGCGAGTTCGAATTAACGTTTGATCAAATTGACGCCCACAAGGCTACTGTGAGACACGAAGCTGCGATGAAGGAAATCCCAGTTATTGTGATAGACTCTGTTGAAAACGAATTCATCAGAGAGGTAATATATTTCTAAGTCGTTTTATTATACACAATCGAGTACAGATTCAGTGTAAAGCAATTTCTATGACATACGAATGAAGGCGCTTATCTGGGAACATGATCCTAAAGCGTGAACGCGCTAGATTTACAGATATTAGATCAGCCAAAGGGATGGAAATAGGAAGATTATTTCCTGTTGGCTGTCTGGGATATATGCCAAATAATCCAATTTTGAATTTGAATTTACAAGGAGAGTAGTTGCATATTATCCACGAGATTCTACTTGATCCTAATTCCTCTAATTTTAATCAAAAGTAAAGGGTATCCGACAAGGCAACCCAAATGGGGCTGCCTCAAGCTACGTGTACTCCTTCTCTTCCTCCGTCAATAAATAGTTAATTAGTAGATAAGCACTTGTGCTTTACTAGTCCCAGAGCAACAAAAGCCTACTAGGCCTTCCCAAAAGAGGCATGGCCGGTCTTAATCACATAAAAGTACATTTCAAATACCCAATATCCTATCTGATGGATTGAAATAAAGTGCTTAATTGAATTCTACTTTATAGAAACTTTTCCATTCTAGGTACGTCCAGAGGAGTACCACTGCGGCTTCTGCAATATTATTATACCGGGCTTGGACGCGATCGTTGAGCACTTGAAGACACTCGTCCACAAGAAAGCCAAGAACAGTGCTTCGTGGCGTCTACAAAGACATCTTCTGAGGAAGAGGCTTTCTGAGTTCAGCCTAAATGACTAAATCATGGAGATTACCAGATTTCTCTTAAAGTTTTACCATTAACAGTCCTATTTTGAATAATAATCAACTAAAGTAGACTAAAAGCAACAGCTGATAATTTAAGTTCTCCATCTCCATCTGGAGATGTTATCAAGTGGAACGAAACCGCATAGTTCTGCGACAACCAAAGGAATAGTTTGCTGACCCAAAATATATGAGTCCACAGAGCAAACCATAAACAGCGAGCAGTGACTACTTAATGCAATAAGCATTTAATAATGTAAAGTCGCGGTCTCGAGAACGAATACCAGTTCATTCATTGTCTTTTAAAAGTTTGCCTCTAACGAGAATGACTTTAATCGAGATAGCTTAAACCAAACAGCAGCTTGGAATGATTTTATTAAATCGACGAATCAGCATTTATTAACAGTTCTCCAATCGTATACTCCTGTTCTCCTGTATTTTATCTTAGATTATCAACTGTAGCAGACTTTTTTCATTAACTATGGTGTAGTAGTATATAGTGTAGTAGTATTTGCATTTAGTGCGGACATTTTAATAACTTTTAAACGCACGATTGTAGCTTATTCTTCAAGTCATAATGTTTAGATATATATCAGCTGTAGCAAGTTTAATGTTTGATAATCATTTGGGCGACCTTTCGAAATTCTAGAAATTGTAATGATATTCTTTTGTAGTGCCAAATTTCAGCATAGATGATGAAATGGGTATTTATGTTTAGATGGCCTAAACTCCTAAACCATACGTAGCTGTTGTCGTTAGTAATAATAAATATAATCACTTGAGGTTAAATATAGCGGGTGGCACCCTAGGCGTCTAGTTGTTACATAAACGCTAGAACGATTTGAGCCAGAGAACAAACACACGTGAAGCCGTGTTGTGAAGGACCGCATACCATCTTGTAGTCAGGATTTACTTGAAGACAAATTATCTTAACGCTATTTGCGTTTGAGAAGTCTTGTGGAACTGTTTTAATAAAGACCATGAAGAGTCAGCTGTCGTATCAGTATACAGCAAGTTATATTCGTGCCACCCGTTTTCATGTCATAGTTTTAGGGGTAATTAAAGTGTCTACAGGAGGTAGAATTTAACATCAAATAGATGGGTTCCCTACTTATTGGGATTTCGATTGTCTATGAGAAGACGAAGAAGAAACGGTCTTATCGTTCGACGGCCATATCCGTGGCTTGGAGACACTTTTAGTAGATCAAGTAATTCTAGATATTTTATCTCTTCGTATATCTCATATTACCTAATATACTCAGTAGGAATTAATATCATAACTGATATTTTTAAATATCTTTTTAGATTTACCGTAGAAAATCAATGTCATATGATACTATGTAATGGAATTATTGTATGTGAAAAATAAATGATAAAAAAAGTTATAACTTGTTTGCTTAAATCTAAAAAAAATTACGCAACATATTACATATATATAGTTAGTTACTTATCCTGAGTGATTGAGCGACTCATTGATTCATCAACGCAGAGCCTAAGCCGCTGGGGATACCAACTCGAAATTTTGCAGATGGTGCTTTTTATCTTGTAAGTATTCCAATAAGAAGATTTTTTGAAATTTAGCTTCTCCTCCGGGGTTAATTAATGATAAATGGTACTATGGAAGTCCGCAATGTTCAACATAAGAAGTGCATAATTTTATACACTTTCTCGTTTTTTCTAAAATTTACTCCGAAAAGGATTAGGAATAGGGTCAGCCATATCCAATCTAGGTGACAGGGCAAGGCAAAGCCGCTGTCATCCGAAACATCGTCTTCTCGCATTAAAACCTACAAATTCAAGTCTCAAAACTTACAAATTTTACGGGAGAGTGTTTTAAAGGTTTATTAACATGTGATATTTTTAATATTAATGATCTTTGCAATATTCATTTTTTATTTTTTGCCAGTTACATTTATCTGTCTTTTAAAGTAAAATAAAATTATGTATTAATTTTGTTGATAGTAGTCAAAATATAGGTAAACTAAGAAAAATTAAAAACTAAAACTGAATTAGGCTCTTTTGACAGTATTTATGAGAAAAATACTGGTGATACCAAATGATTCCGTATATTAACTCAATTTCGAATATTTTTGGAAATTGTACACTTGTAAATTGTCTTTTCGCATCTCCCGGATCCATTCTCGGCGCTTTTGGGCTCTTCAAGCACCGGTCACCGTCGTCTCTTCGTCGTAATCGACGAGTTCGACTGGCGAATTAACCCATAGACACAACCCACTGAGTTTCTCGCCGCATTTTCTCATTGGGTCGCCATTCCGATCCGGTGGTAGATTTCGCGAAGTACTGTTCTTTCCCGGTCCTCGTTCTCGTCGAACCCGTCGTTTGCGATGAAGGGCTCGACGAGTTAATTAACCCACATACACAGCCCACTGAGTTTCTCGCCGGATTTTCTCAGTGGGTCGCGTTTCCGATTCTGTGGTAGATTCTGCGAAGCACGGCTCTTGCTAAGGTTCGTGTTAGCGACGTCATCCGTTTGATCTCTGTGGGCTCACCTACTAGTTAAGGTTACGCTGAAATAGCCTCTCAAGGCTATCAGCTTAGGCAGGAAAAAAAAGCTGATTTTGCTAAGGCTGCTGTTAGCAAACTATTTCTCAGTTAACCACGCGAAGCCAGGGCGGGTCTTTATTGTTGACCCGCATACTAAGTTTCCATTAGATACTCGTAAGATAATCTATTTAATGGGTAGCTATCTTTATATAAATAAAAACACTTTTTATATTTTTTATTTATTTTATGAACAACATTGCAGTACAGAAAGGCTCTTTAAGAGAGCCTCAGGCTATGGATAATGATTACATGCAACATAGAGATCATTAAAATGACTAATACATCAAGAACATTGAAACACTAATATCTATATGGTTAACCCTTTATAAGTCAAAGGCAAATTACGTCAGAAAGAAACAAATTACAAATACAACATTATTTTAAGCATTATCTTCTCTTTGTATAAATCTTCTAATAACCCTCCCCGGAAAGATCAAAGTCAAACTTTTGGCCTTGAACTAAGATTTAAATGGCTTTAAGTTACAAACTGTGATTGTCCGGGCGGTTCGACGGTGATGGAGTCAAACGGAAGCACATTGAGTTCTATCCTGGTCCTGGCACTTATCTGAGAATTCACTGTGTTCACTGAACACACGATTTTCAAGCGCAACTTTACATTAGTATTCAACTATTCCAATGCAGTTACTAGCGGAACTGTTTCTGATCTAAATCCTCGGCTTAGTCTATGGAAACTTATCAAGGATTTAACGATTGAAGAGGGTGAAAAAGAACAAGAGTAGAATTTTTCTTCGTCAATACGAGACGCTTCAAAGACATCGATTTATCATGCAGTACTAGATACATATGTAATAGGCTGGAGAAAAAGTTTCTTAGTAAAAGAAAATTCATTAAAAAAAGAAAATTCACAACATTTTTAATATATATTATTATATATATTTACATTTAACTAAAGTATGTAGATACCATTTTATTCGATAAAATTTTGCCATCTTGCAGGTAGAGACATGATCCCATTGCTATACAAATTTTGGGGCTTCTGGTCAAAATACCGCGACAATTGGTTTTGGCAGTCCTCTCGTGATCTTAACCAGACACTGCCTAAAAATTCTGAAGAGACCGAAACAGGTGGAAATCTAAAGGTGCAAGATCAGGACTATACGGCGGATGCATTAACACCTTCCAGCCAAGCTCTTACTTTTTGCTGTCTAGCGTTATCATGATGAAAAACCACACATCTTCTGTTGATTAATTCCGGCCGCTTTCTCTCAACTTCTTGCTTTAATCTAATCCGTTGTTCGCAGTAGGGTTCAGAATCGATGGTCCTGTCTGGTGGTAACAGCTCATTATGAATAATGCTCTTCCAATCCCACCACACATACAGCATCACCTTGTTGCGAGTTAACCCGGGCTTTGCTACAGCCTGTGAAGCCTAACCGGCCTTTGACCACGACCTTTTTCGCACGTTCTTGTCGTCCGTGATCCACTCTTCATCACCAGTTATCAGCTTCTTCAAAAATGGCTCGGTTTCATTACGTCGTAATAAAGAATCACAAATGAGTACCTACACAGTTCATTAGGTTTCTTTCAGTGAGCTCGTGAGGTAACCAATATCGAGCTTTTCGTGTACCCAGTTTTTTTTCAAATGCGCCAAAATTGTTTTGTGGTAAATTCCAATTTCTTCAGCTACATCATAACTACTGATATGCAGATCTTGCTTCACTTTTTCAAAAATGGCATCCATTTTATTCGTAATAGGGCGACCAGAGCGCCGAGCATCTTTGACATCAAAATTTCCGGATTGAAAACGCTTAAAACAAATTTGTGCTACTCTTACAGACACTGCACTAGGTCCATAAAACATCAATTTTTTTTCACGGCTTGCGTTGCATTTTTACCTTTTTTGTACTAAAATTTTAAAACGTATCGAATTTCTTCATTAGATTCCCTCATCTTGACTCTCTACTCTGGGTCGAGAATCAAACTCAAAAGTCCTAGTTCGAGCTTAATAAGAGTTTCCGACTGCGTCATTTGGCACGTTTTTGAAGTCACGGTATTTTAATGGATTCCGGAATTTGTAAAAATTTGGTGAATTCGTGTCAATTTTTTAAACTCATTGAGTGTAAGTTTTGACTGTATAGTCTATGACAGGAGCCCACTGAGTTTCTCGCCGGATCTTCTCAGTGGGTCGCGTTTCCGATCCGGTGGTAGATTCTGCGAAGAACTGCTCTTGCTTGTTAGCAACTCTCCGGTTGAGGCCCGTGAGCTCACCTACAAACGTTAGGGCGAAGCTGAAATAGCCTCTCAAGGCTATCAGCATAGGTAGGAAAAAAAAAACTATGACAGGTAGAAGTTCTTTGTAGTGAAAAAAGGTTTGTCTATGTCTACTTATGTCTAAAATAATGTTGTATTTTTTATCTACAAATCAAAACTTCCTTGTTATGTACTGTTAATAATATGCCTATGAAACACTTTGAACTGAATTTTTAATGAATATAACATTAAGTTACATGTTAAAATGTGTCCGATATTACAGTTGGTAACATATATACCTACTTGTACATTTCCGTTTGATTTTCAATTGACGATCGATTTGTCTTCAGCGAAAAACATTCGTATGAAAAACATTGCAACTGTGATTGGTACCGCAAATTTTAGTCTCATTGTAATAGCACTTCACATACATGTCATAGTCATAGTGTATTTGTTTTTTTCTTTATCCCAAACGACAATATAGAGGATTTACTGCTTATTATTATTTTATTACCATAAATGCAAATAATTCATTTATTTTAGACAAACGCGTTTCTGTTTCCTGAGTAAGTTTATACTTGTTGGTTCATTTGATTAAGTTAGTGATTTCTTTTGAATATTGATTAAAACTTTTAGTACCTCTACTCGCATACACGGCGTCAAGTGAAATGCTATCATGAGACTAACTTTCCTTAAAATAAAATTCAGTCCAATATTTGATCATATCGATTTACAAGTACAACCAAAGGTTAAAGGCAAAGGTTACATATAGCCAGCGAACCACAAAAATGGTGATTTGTTACGGATCAATTTCTCAACGGAACAATGGATCAATGGATGGTTTCTCTTCAATGGATCAAATCTTTTTTGATTTAATATTTGTTTAAAATTCGTTTTCGTATTTATTTAAACTTACATGATCCAAAGGTTGTGTTCTCTTATACGAGGTTTTAAGCTTGGTAAGTTCGAAACTGACATGCAGAATTTTCTTCATCTGTGAGAAGTACCAATATAAGCAGTCGCAAAACTAACAATCGCCATTGTCTCCATTTCTGTCACTTGCTTTGCCATATACGAGATCTAAACTCAATGCGGCGTAGCAAAGGAGCAAAGTCAACGGCTACGCTACGATTAAGGCATTAAGACAATGAAAACGAATGTAAAATGACTCAAAACACATTACATTATCCGCTTTTTAGTTTTATTCAACAGCGAATTAGCATATACCTTAAGTGCGTCTGTTAGGAGGCTAGAATTTTTAAGCTCGATTGCACATCGAAGTTCTGTTCTGTGTTGATCACTGCGCACTCATTTAGTGTAAATGCCGAATTCTGCAATATTCCCGGAACCTTAACAAATCATGCATTTTCATCTAATCGCTCACGTCAAAAACAGAGAAACTTACCGGATCTTACTTGGCGTAAAAACCAATTTAGACAACCAAATTAAGGGTTGTCACATTAATAGAGATATTTAGTAGGCTGCATTTGCAGATCGTCGTGTGTGTGTGCGTGTGATCGACCATGTACGATCATCTATGACCTGAGCTTCAAGGTGAATGTTTGACTTGGAAACGCGATGTACCGACGATTGTAAAAAGTCTGTAGTAATTAATGAAAACTCCTCAGGTAATCTGTAGCGGGTAGTTTTCTTAACATATTGGATATGAAGCATCCAACTATGTATTTCGAAATAAGCCCGACGCTCTTTAATATCAAGCGTCTTTTTAATTCTCGTAAATTCGAAGTTAATTTCCGCCGATACCAAGAATCTACTTTCAGGCTTAAAATGTTACTACTAATTTAACGGTACAGGATGGAGCACGGTTCCAAAGCGTAATGTAGCTATAGAAGCCAATTAAGTGCGAGGGTAGTTTTGTTTCCTTTTAAACCCATGCGAAACGAAATTTGTTGTCTGTATCAAGATGGTGATTGCACAATTCTCCTTTTTGAGTATATCTAAAGGTGTGTGCACAGTATTTTGAACGCTTCAACGAAGCCTAATAAGATATTCGGTCGATCTCTGCATTTATGTCACATGAGCGGGTAATTCGATTGCTATTGCAACCTCTGCGTTAACTTAGACTTATAAAGGGTCAATTAAATGTGATTACATTAGACACATATTCCGTATTATATATTTCAGTATATTGATTAAGATAAATTGTTAAGTAATATTATATCGATTACATGTATTTAAACTCCATTATTTATGTTTCCAATGAGTACATAAAATTAAATTTTAACAGATCTGTTTACGATTATAAACGTTCTTTTATCATTAAATCATTAGAAATGCATTTTCAATTTAAATATTTTACAAAAATATGCGTTTCACTCTCTAGTGTGTAAGAGTGAGACAGCATTTTTTTTATTATGAATTGAATTTTTAAGAATTTAATGAATAAAATTGCTATACAAAACTCACCACAGATCTGCGAAATCGACGAACGTTACTCGTATTATTTGCGTGTATAGTGGCTCATTCATTCATGCTAATATGTATATTTCAGCCTGCGTTTGAGCGATACACATAGCAAAACATTTCCAAGTAACGTTTATCGATTACATTCCTTTAGATTACTCACGAAACACATATAATGTTGGCGTTTAATAATTTTTAAAACTTAAACTATCGTCAGAGTCGTCGCGATATGATGGACGAAGCTCTGAGAACTTACATTCCTAAGGTATTTTTTTTTTCATACCATTTCAACATTTATCGGGATACAAGACGAAAATCGGGGTTCAAAATAATACTTACAGCAACATAACTGAGCACACGTTGAGATTTTCGCATCAATTTTCTTTCTTACCGTACGTACACAAGTCTATCAAAGATTGTTTGTATTATGATCTAGCTTGCTTCCCATAAATCTGATAAATTTTTAATACAATAACTAATAGACCTAACATATACTTTTTGGTGTTTAGTATATGTTACTAAGACTGTAGCATCAGATCATAGCTTTTAAAATTCCTGGTAATATAATTTTTCTGCCTAAAGTTAGATCTGACTTTAAGGTGCCTAACATAACTTTTTGGTGTTTAGTTTAAGTTACTAAGACTGTTACATTAGATCATAGCTTTTAAAATTCCTGGTAATATAATTATTCTGCCTAAAGTTAGATCTCACTTTAAGGTGCCTAACATTATTAGTGATTTGTAAGCTGTATTCGTTGTAGGCACATTATAACCATTACTAATTATTTATATAACATTTTTGTTGTTCCAATGATGCCACATCATTTCGCTCCATTATAGCGTCGGTTCAGTTATTATCTATACTTTTTGTTGACGATATCTCTTATTATCTTTCAAGTAGACTTCAAGACCGATGATATTCACATTCCAATACCTACCAGTTACAAAACGCGTGCTGTAATAAGCTTCATAGTTAGCAACGGATCATAAATTTTTTCACGAGAATCATAAAGCACACATATTAAAAATACGATAGTGGTTTGGGGTCTGTCCTAATTAATGAAGTAGGTTTTGGTTTCATACGCGGCATACGACACACGTTATTTCATTATTACTAGAGAATAAATAGGTATAATGATATTAAAATCTAAATGGCATGCAGCCTCATCGCAAAAACTTGAGTACTAGATACCGATTTGAAATTTAACGATTATTTAACAATTTTGCCTTAATTCGAATACCAGATATTAACCATTACAACAAACTCTCACGCTTTATACACTAAATAATATTATCCCCGTTGTCGTCTATATTCAGAATTAATATCGAATTTTCGAGAAATTCTCGAATTGAATTTAATTCTAATTACAGAACGAGTCAAGGGACACCATGCGAACCAGCTATTAACAATTAACATACATTCATTCACAATTCCACGATCACATTTCAAAAGCCAACCATTTAATTCATTGATCAACAACTGTTAAGATCAACTGTTAAGTTCTTTATTATTTTCAATTACGACGTTTTCAGAAATGAATATGAATTCCTGTTATATGATACTAAAAGTACTGAAATAGAATTATTCGTGATAATTCTTTGTTTTAATTTTTTTTTTATGACGCTGGAGGTTTTACTTAGAGACACTGCCGCCTTAAAACTACGTTATACTAAGACTTACATCAAGACTAATTACTAGCGATTAATTTTGCTGCCAACGACACCACCTCTCTAGCCTCATCTAAGTTCAGTCCAAATTTTCACAGTCCAAATGCCGATCGCAGCAAAATCCAACGAGATACATTTAGTAACGAAAAACATTCATTAACCTAATTACGAAAACTAGTCGCGGACCCATAAGTTTCTAGAATAGCTGATTAAAATTACAAACTTATTATAACACATTACATAAAATATCACGTCATCAAGAATGCCTCCGAGACTCGATGAAAATAAACCAAATTAATAGGAATCGACGTGTTAGCGAATTTAATAACGGCCACTCAGCGATTATATTTACGAATTATTATAAAGCTAAACCTTCATTTGCTGAAAATGATGAAGGCAATTAAAACGTCAGACCACTGAACATGGCCGGCGTCCCTGGCCTGTTCTATCACTCCAGACATTGCCAATCCCTACCAAAACTCTAGTTTCAATTGCACTCTCATCTCACACAAATAAACGTTCAGTTATAATAGACGGAAGACTTTCCAGTAGTGATTGTTTGTTGTGATTCGTTTTCGCCAGCTTACGTATTCATGGTCTAACATGTCCCGAAAAATCTTCGCAACAATAAATTGTTAGTGAAATTTTAATTCAAAAGAACGATCCGCAACAAATACACATTCCAATACAGGCTTTCGAACAATAAGAGGGATTTAAAAGTTGAGCGAACTCCGTAGAAGTTTGTAAAGACATGTACAAAGTATAAGACAGTTTAATACAATGGTTTTGTATTTAAGAGAATTTCCAAACTGTTTTAGATAGGATAGTTTAGATAGAGGGGATTAGTCTACATAAATATTGTAAGTAATTTTAAGAAATCTATAGAAATTCGTCTGATATGTTTCGATTTGAAGATAGGAATTTTTAATGTGATTCTAGTGAGGTTGATAGTTATGAAGGGAAGTAAATTTAATAGAAAAAAAATTTAAAATGAAAGATATATCGGTGGACAACAAGAAGTTATTCTTGTTAGTTAGTTCTTAGTTTTTCTTTGATGTAGAATATAATTCGAGCGTTCTAGAAAGTAATCTATAGCCACGCAGGATAGCTATTTGTTTCCGCATATTAAATTTGGAGTCCACCACGATCCACCGAGTACTACATGGTTCCTTTATAAGATGTTACTCTTCTTTTTAACTTAGACGTTAAATTAAACAAATAAATAAACAAATATTTTTAAAAAGATTAACCAAAATAGTAGGTGTATAATGAGTTGATAAATTATATTTAAAAAAGAAATTCATATTTAGAAACTTAAATGTAACTTTAAATGAATGAAAAAATCATTACAATTAACAGACTTTAAATGATAGAAATTAGATAATAATGTATACACCTACATTTTAGAAAAAATCGCTTAAAAACCGACAAATTTATGAGAATAAGAAATGATCTAATGTTACTAAATTTTCATTGATAATTTTAGGAAATTTATACTAAGACTGTAGGTTTTTTTTAATTAGTGGTCAGAGATGTTTTGGGGATATGTTTTATTGCTCTATATGGGCGGATGAGCTCGCGGTCCGCCTGATGTTAAGTTGTTACCGGAGCCCATGGACATCAAAACGTACATGTCGCCGCCCATCTTGAGACAATAATATATTGAATTGTGATGGTGCTAAAATTATTACCAATGAAATATTTAGTTGAAAACTATTTCAAAAATACTCATAGTATCTGATGAATTACACAAAATTGGTGACGTCAAAATCTCACCAAATAGTAACCGCCAGATACTGTAAGTATTTAAATGAATCTAATGGAGAAAATAAAAAAAGAGACTTTAGTCGTCCCATGTGTCATATGTAGAATCTGGGTACGCCCATGGTGGTCGACTCGAAGTGTGGGATGTGGTACTGTTGGTTTTCATGTTGTATCTGAAAAACAGTACCATAGTTATTTGATCAGGGCAAGTGAAATAAATTGAAAAATTGAAGTATCTATTTACCGACCTAGTCTCAACCTGTTTGTATGTAGTCGTTGACATTGTTCCTCGACTGGTTGATTGAGCAGGCTCTAGATTCGACTCGTGCCAAGACAGAAGCGGATCGGGGTATCTAAAAGTAATGTTTATTATTTGAAAATTGTTTACATCGGTACAAATATTGTTAGATGCAGTATCGCCTTCACGTACTGGTCAAAGTGTCCGTAGAATCCGCTATTGCCGTCTCCCTCAAAAATGTTCCGGTCTCCAACTGGTTTGGACTGTCCTGGAGAAGCTGGCGGGATCGTGGTGCGGTCAAGGGGATTCGGTGGGGGTGGGGTAACAGCGCGTGGCATCTTTGGGTTGGTTTCCAAGGTTGAGTTCTTGATTCCGTATTTGAAGTACATCACGAGACCTGTCATATTAAAAATAATAGGTCCCGTTAATTCACCGCTCTGCCAACGCCTGTCTCTCCTGTTGGTACAATTGAATGTAATGAAGAATAATAATTAAATAAGACATGCCGCTCCAGCAAACGCTTTGCATTTTTATTAATTCAGTACTTACACAACCGTAGTACTTACCGAGTGCCATCCAGACGGTGAAACGAACAAGAGTCAGGATCGAGAGGTTCAGAATCAGGTAGATGTTGACGATAATCGCGATAGTCGGCACGAACGGAAGCCCAGGGGTCGTGTACATCAGGGCAACGCTGTTTCCAAAATAAATAAATAAAACGTGTTAACAAACATTGATTTAAACTATAAAATCTTTTCACAAAATTATTAAAATAAAACACGTTACCGGTTCTGTGGTTTACGGGAGATAAGAAGAAGGATCAGGACGATTCCGAGAAAGAGAAGTACCATAACAATGGCGGTGAAGGTGGAGGTACTAGGGTTACCGTAGGCAGCCAAGACGTCAAACAAGAAGATCATAACGAACATCACACCTACAGCCTTGATCACGAACAAACCTGAAACAATGTTAACTTTATAGACACGAGCCTAAGTTTGTATGATCCAAAAAAATTCAAGTTGACACTAATTGATTAACTAACCGGTAAATTCGGTGGCTGGACCGCAGTCGACCCAGGGGAAGAGACCAGGGCAGAGATAAGACATGGCGTGCAGCCTACGAGATATTGCTTCCATGAAGCGGCCGCAACGCGTGTAAGCAGCTCCGGAGCCTCCAGGAACCGCGCCCACTATTACGACACGAAATTCGTAAATGATAGGTATCGAATCTATCGAAAATAAATTATGAATATTAAGTAAGCAACTTCAAAAGGATGAGTTATAAAAAAATTACCGTAGAACTTGTTTTCGGCAGCCGAGTTAACGAGGAAGGTGTCATCACGACCGTACTCTTCGCTGTCGTCGCCAGGAAGAGTATCGTCGGAGTCCGGAGAACTGTGAAAATAACTATGTCGAGACTCCATTCGATTGAAACACATAATATAAAATAATGGTCGGCCTGGCCTTTCGCGTTTGCCAAAAATCGCAGGCGTGTTCGCATCGCAGAACTGCTAAATGGAAAAACAAAATACCTTCGGGTGACACGACGGACCATAACGTGTTGACTGGCTGCTTGGATATGGGCTTGCAGGTGTCCCTGTAACAGTAACATTGCTGTTAGGAATCTCATCTCATCTCATCTCATCTCATCTCATCTCATCTCATCTCATCTCATCTCATCTCATCTCATCTCATCTCATCTCATCTCATCTCATCTCATCTCATCTCATCTCATCTCATCTCATCTCATCTCATCTCATCTCATCTCATCTCATCTCATCTCATCTCATCTCATCTCATCTCATCTCATCTCATCTCATCTCATCTCATCTCATCTCATCTCATCTCATCTCATCTCATCTCACTCTTCATCTCTCATCTTCGCGACTGAAATAGGAACGGTGACACCATCAATAGAACATTTTACCACTGGTAAGTGTGGGTTGGTGGTCTTAATACCCTGGCACAAGATTAACGTTGTTGTCCATTCTCCGGTCTAGAAGAATAAATAAGTAGAAAGAAGAAAATATTTACGTGCAGCGTCCTTCTTTTAGAAAACATCATTTACGATAAATGTGTTATTACTTCTATTTTAAATTTTTGCATTATTGTTTTGTTTTAGTTAGATAGGGTTTTTGCTGTATCAAAATAACGAATTTCACAATGACCAAACTCTTACAGACGAGGCAAAGTTAAATGTATTTGTTGTATCTTGTATTGCGGTTTCATGAGGCACTACAAGAAAATGTTTAAGCATTCGGTACGAGATGTATTTAACTCTAAGTCTTTAATAAGTGTAATAATAATAACAACAGTCATCGTAGCAGTACGTTGTAGCAGAAAACATTGTTTCTCAAGCTTGTTAAGCTTAAAAATAACAGCGCGAAATTCAAACTATAAATCAGATCTAGAACGATCAGTATGTTCAAGGCGGAGGCTGTTCGGTCTCAATGCGCATGTCAAGAGTGCCCGGTCATCTTCCCATCGATTCACCCGGTCGTTCCCTCATCCTCCCGGTCACCCTCCAACCCCTATTACCGGGATCAAGCCCGAACCTTCCTTAATATAAATCTAAAATAGACAAGTAGTAAAACGGACAAACATTTTCAAGACTTACAGATATATCTATACTAATATGGTTTTTACGGATGTTCCGTTATAACTACTGAACCATTCATCCGATTGACTTGAAACTTGGTATCCATATAGAAAATACATGTACTTAATGGATGGGCTAATATTTATATGAGTGTTGGACTCCCTACACCAGTTGTGGGGGCGTTAATGATGAGAATCTTTGTGGGGGTGAGAAATAATAGTGTTAATTTTTAATGCCCAGCGATGCGGATTGGTACAGCTAGTATACGTATATAATAATTATTAGAAATAAGTTTTTATACTCACAGTGAAGCATGTCTCGTGGGACGCGGTGGCGGTTGCGTCTGGTTCTACAGGAGTTCTCAAGCTTTGCGGCAGCAGCTCGATGAGGTTTGTGGTGTGAGGTTGATAGCGGAGAACCAAAACGCAGGTTGAAACCAAGGTATAGGCGAGAAGGGTGCCTGTGGAACATTATCAACTATTACATACTATTTATACCTGTCGAATAAGTTCATGGTCAAAAATGTTGAATAGATTGCAAATAATAGTATATTAATAAACAAAATAGAACTTAGGCTGAAAATAATGAAAAAAGAAGAATGAAATTAATTATTTCGAACTGAATGAGTTATTTTGAAAAAAATAATTCTTACCTAAGAGTTTTCGGAGCATGAGGCTGGTGGAAAGCAACGCGGATGTTCGCCGGAAACATTCGTATCTCCGTAGCGTGCATCTAAGATGTTTTTCCGGGCAGTGCGATTGTCTCGAACACGTCTCCCAACGTCGAACATCCGCGTTGCTCTAACTTTGGATCAGGCCATTCACGAGTACCCGGGCAAGAAAGCATTGCGCACAAGCTACTCGATAAAAAGAGACGAAATATCGGTTGTGCTCTTTACGCACCCTACTTGCCTTTGTTAAATCTGACACCTACCTAGGGCCAAGCGAGCCCAGACTCGGGGACTAGCTGAGAAAATCAATGAAATCTAGGGAGCTTCGAAATTCAGCAAACTTTCTGCAAAACGAGCGCTTAGCCTTCTTCATCGAGCGTCGTTTTTTGAATGGTGTATTAGGTTTTTTATTGTTCATGTTTATTTTTGTCCAGACATTTTATTAGCAAGGAAGTTTCTGGAAACCGCGCCTTTGTGTTTAGCAAACTAAATTTAAATTATATGTGTGGGGCAAAATATGTTCGTTCTCATATTTCATTGTCGGCGTCACAAGGAGAGAAAGACTTGATGAAACCAAGTCACTGAACATATCGTGGAATTATTCTCAACAGAAAGTACCTAAGCAGCTATTATGGACTATTTATAGTGTATTGGCTGATATATCATACCCTAATATCGTAGATATAAACACTATTGGTTCAATGATTAAAAACAATTGGAGAGAGAGAGAGAGAGGTTAATTTATCGCACAACAAAAAATCATCAATAAAAACAGTCAACGGGCAGATAGGTATAATTGAACAATAAGTAGTCTTATCGCTTAAAGTGATATCTTCTAGGCAACCATTTTTCTTTAAAGAAATTCTGAACAAGATATAGCAGGTATTTTACATGTTTACTATTATTAACAATGCTTAGAGAGATCTATCGAAACTGACCAAACCTTTATGCAAATCATTAAGGAATGATGAAATGTTCCTTCGGAGTTATCCGATTGCGCTGAACTTATTTTAAGTGAAATAGATGTTTTTTCAAATTGTCTCACTACTTACAGGAAAAATCTGTCGCGGATCATCTCCCAATTAAATTAATCTTAAGCAAGCAATGTATGAATTGTAATCAAATCTAAGCTGTATATTTTTTGTTTTTTTTTTATGTTAATGCTCTGTCGATTGCACCTATAATTGAGGTGACATCTGCCATGAACTTTTGTCAATTTATTAATGTTTTGTATTGATGATCACTTTGTTGGTGCAACTTAATAAATAAATAATAATAAATAAAACATTAAAAAATATAGGTACTATAAATGTATACCTACCTACTTACAATATACAATATACTACTTACAATATACAGACATAAGTAATAGAATGATTTATTATTTTATGTACAATAATAAATCATTAATAAATCAAAATAATCAATATAGGTATATACATATAATAAATCAACAGCTTGCAAAATGTGAAACATTTATAAACAGTATTGAAATGATCTAGATATTGTTAAAATCAGCAGATCTAATTGTCGTCTAATTGCGGTAGGAGAACGTTTTGATTTTCGAATACAGACCAAGCACCAACGTAGGCACACTAGAAATGTTTGGGTAATAAATAGCTCTATCTATAATTATTTGCATTATTTATTTAAACAGCCCTACGAAACTATGTGACAACATAACTATGGGTAAGGAATTAAAATTAGTAACAAAACGCTATCAACGAAATGCTGGAGGATTAATTGCATTAAATTGTTATTTTACGATAGTTCCACATGTGTATTTCACTTATGAGTAACTTCGGATTTTTTCGGATTTTGCCTTTGCTTTTCTTATTATATTGTATGAAAATACCGTCCAAGAAAATTAATGTTTTAAGCTGTGACATTGAGCTTCTAAGAGGTACGTGAACAGAAAATCTTATTTGGCTTAGAATTGCATCACCGCATTTCGTCCATGGGACGTTTTTAAATGTGACCAAGACAGAGAATGCAAGGATAGATAGCACCATCTTATATATTATTGGAAAGAGATCATCCGTTTCATATTGGAGAAAATGACACGATCGTCATGCAATACAGTTGAGACAGCTCAATGACTCAAGACCAATGACAGCGTTCATGCTGCGATATAGGTCCCACTTAAGCAACGGCCTCATTGACGGCTGTCCACGGAAGCTTTGTTTTATGTTTTTCCTACATATTTTAGTAAGTATGGGTTATACTAGATTCATAAAACGAGTTAGGGAACTCACGGGGCTCAGCCTGGCGAATTTGCTAACACTGGCCCTAGCGAGAGCAATACCTCGCAGAATCTACCACCGGATCGGAAACGCGACCCCCCGAGAAGATCCGACGAGAAACTCAGTAAGCTGTGTCTGAGTGTTACGGAAGCTATGATCATTTGTTTTGTATTAATATCGATTCGTGTAATATTCTTCTTTAATAAGTTAGTAGTCGTCATCTGAAGTTAGATTAGTTGATCATTAAGACTGGCAATCCACAAGACTCGACATGTACACATTGATCTGTTACAGGGGTTGGTTTTTCGACTTTGTTTTTTTATTAAATACCACATAATAAATTAGCAGTCAAAGCTTCTTGTATACTCATGACTTTAATGACGTGCTTTTTTCAACGAAATACACACAATGCGGATAAGTAAATATATTATAGAACAGGAAAGACATAGTGACGTTTAAATAAATAATATTGTTTAGTATCTTCCAAAGTTCACGTAGCCCGTCATTTTTCTGGATTATCTAGGAAACGGCATCAGTAACATTTAGCTAAACCGTTACAGAAAAGTGATCAACTTCGGTAAGATTTTAGTTGAAATTAGAACGGGGTTTAATTAAAAACAATGTTATCATTATTATAAAATATCATATAATTGTTAAGTGTTTTGATAGAGAAAGTGCTTTTAGAATGAGTGTTATTTAATAATGTAGGTATGGTAAGTATGTACGCTATCGGCTTAATCGATTTGCATATATTTTTTATAACTTATCAGAATAAAACCGACCTACTTTCAGTCTGATTATTGCAAAGCGCACTGTTCGACTACCGTTTATTAGTATTTTATTAAAAACTAGCTGACCCGGCAGATTTTGTAGTGCCTCAATCGATAAATAAAAGACACATCAAGGGGACACATCAAAGGAAAAACAAAATTGTTTGTTTTTATATAATTCCGAGCTTTTTTATATTTTCTCACCTTTTAAACCTTCCCTGGACTTCCACGAATAATTCAAGACCAAAATTAGCCAAATCGGTCCAGCCGTTCTCGAGTTTTAGTCTCAAATATATTAAGTGTATAATCTATGGTTTTAGCGAGACTAACGAACAGCAATTCATTTTTGTATATAGAGATTATTAAAATTTTATGTGAAAGACAAAAAAAAAAACGAGGTGGAAGTGGGGGAGTTTTGGCAAAATGAAGCACCTCTATTTTCACTATATTATTTAGGTATGGCTTTATAACCTTTAATTTCCCAATTTATTAGAAATATAAATATTTATGAAATACCATAATATTAAACGATAAAACTCTTTAAGTATTTAAAACCTACGAGTAGTAATGGAAACTCTGTATCTCTCTCGTACACAGATAAAATAAAAATATAAATTAAGATATCTGTAAAATATTTGATTAAAATGGTATAAAACTTTATTTAAAGACTATTTATCATTAAAAATTTGTTTCAGCGAGCCTATTCCTACTTGGTTTTTAATCAAAGAAAAAAAAAAGGCCGATACTTATTGTTGGTGGGATGAAAAAGTATTGCAACGCCCTCTATGTTATTTGTTGGTAAAGAAATAAAAAACTAACGCATTAGTAAAGTTCAGTTACTATTGACTAGATGGCACTCTCGTTTGATAAGCTTTTCTTATTTGTTGGACTATAATGCCACTAGATGTCGCTTTAAAAGAATAAATAATTTCTAAATTTTACACATCGTCTTTCACATCTCAAAAATTATAAAAATATCATCAATATAATATTAATATGATCATTTGACATAAAATCAGATCAATGAAAATTTAAAAATCTTAACATAAACTTTGGTACCCGCTTGGCTTAGTTATTGCTATATTACATTAACGTTTTTCACTGCTTTGATACTTAGGTAATATTGAACATCAGAATAGGTTTTGACTAGTTTCTTTTTGGTTAATAATAATATTTTGTTTTTGTGTTAGCATCATTATATTTTCTCTTGTGTGGTTCGATATGGGAATGAATATAAATTTCTAAGTCAAAGCCCAATTTAGATACATTATCCATTTTGTCATTGTATTGAATTTTCATTCATATTTTTTGTCTTTAATAAGACTCTACTACTAAAGCATATTTTGATTTCAAAAATATTAAAGTTTAGACCCAATATTTGTATTGCATTTAAAATGGATTTGTCTGTATTAGGTGCCCTGACAAAGGAACGAGTTATTAAATTTCAAACAGACGTTTTTATATTTTATTTCTTGTTTGGAATTTTATGTTTAGTATTTATTGAATGTATGTTACTTTGTTAACAGTATAATCTTAAATTGTATTTTACACCAATATTGATTAATATTAATCGATCAGTAATTCTCAATTTTAAATCATTGTGAATGGTATAGTTTGCAAGATAAAAAGTCTCTAAATATCTTTGCCCCACAGCTAAATACTGTAAGACAATCTGTCAGTTGTCTTAATAACATGAGCCGCAGATCTAAGTTTTTCTACAAACTCTTAATCAACCTCACTGGATTTTGCAATCCAAAGCGATCGCCATTTGGTAAAT